GGACTATGTAAACTCTTAGTAAACTGTAAACCCTCTAAAGTAAACTCTCAGTGTACATACACTGAGAGGCCGAGTACATCATTGTTCATTGAAATAATAACAATACTATTGTAACTCTTACAAGTATTGCTAAATTTTAATTACAACAATAAATTACGGGAAATAAAATAATATTCAACAAATTTTCATACAAACCTATTAATTAAGCCTACAAGCAAAATCTTATTAATTGAACCTACAGGTAAAAGTTAAATCAGTATTGTTAAACAATCCTGTATAAAATCTGCAGTTTTAATCAATTGCAAACTGTAACTAGCATAATTAATTATGAAATATAATAATGTCTGCACTAAGTTTATTTAAATTAGCACCATTCAAGTATCAAGTAGTGTTAATATAATTTCATTGTTTATATAAACTTTTATATTTATATATATAAATAATGTTTTACGAGTGCAGATGATGAATATCTAATTTACCAATCAAACAAGGAGCAACAGTTGCAGGCTCAACAAACCACAATGTATGATGGAAAACTGGAGATGCTTTCTCACTAATGGGATTATAGACCCTTGGAACTGCCTTTCAGCCGAAGCTGTCAATGCCAAAACACTATTGAATTTCCATATCCAACACGATACAATGATCATGACATACGGCGGGCGTCAGCGGAGGCAAGGAGCCAGCAGCAGATGCTTCCTGTCTTCGTCAAGGCCACTAGAGTGTGAGTGGCCCTCAGGTAAATTTGACTTTTTGAAGAAAGGAATTAATGTCCTCCAGTAGTCGAGTCTTGAATGCTGCCGACATTAGATGACCAATAGATTCTTGCATAGAGGTCCCCTAAGAGTAAGACAACAGTAAATTCACCCTAGTTATTATGTCTACCGTTATACTATTATAAAGTAACTTATTAAAAGAAAACTATGAATTTGAAAACAGGAACTTTTAATGGAGAAACAAAAAGTAATATCCAGCGATTGATTGATAAAGCCACCCAAAAGGTGGCACAGGCATGAATAGCCCGTAAGTGGTGGCCCATTTGAGCCATTACCAGTATCAAGAGCTGATACTGGAGATCTGTGGAGGCGCCACTGTACCCTGCGTTATGGGAGATGTCTCCCGGACCAAATGGTACCCAATATCCAACAGAACTTTACCTATTATAATATATGCCTAAATTAATCTAACTTAGGATTAGATTAGGTTATGATAACTTAAAACAAATTAGATAAGGCTAGGCTATGTTTTCATTTAAAACTTTTCAATTTCAGATTCTCGAATTTTCTTATCCGAAAATTATTTTTGTGGTAAATAATTAAGTTACAAAACAGATTGCTCAATATATATATTTATGTATACATACATAGTACAAATATGAGGATGTGTTGATTGTGCGTACAATCATTTGAACTATAGTGCTGTTTGCATAGTAAGTTTGCTATCTGTGAGTTCAACCATTATAACAATAAACGAGTCACTTGTAGACTTCAATTACTTAGTGGTATTCTGGCCCGCTACAAGCAAGTCCTTGTGGACAACAAGTATTCTACGATTTTGTAAACTTCTGAGAATCTGCAAACAGAACTAAGAAAATCCCTGAAGCCACTACAGCTGCACTTCGATCATTAGGGCCTGAACACAGCTCTTGAAAATCCCAGCTACTCCACACCGTTGTGGGAAACTACGACCGACCCCTTGTAGATTTCGTTGTCGTAGCTCCAGTTCTTAAAGTTAGGGATGTTGAGGCTCTCTCCCAGAGCGAGTTCGAGGATCTTGGGCGGGGAGTAGCAGCCAGCCTCGGCTCCCATCTGGTACTGGGTCCTCCGGTAGATGGCCAGGGTAGCTTGATGTATGTCCATGGGTGCCTTAAACACAGACGGGGGAAGTTATGGCGCTAGCAAGGGTGTTTAGGATGGTGTTATGATGTTGGAGTGATGGAGAGGCTGCAGTCTGGAAATGTTTCAAGAAGGAGGATATGGAATTTTGAAAACTTTCCGTGCTGAAGTTTTAGAAAGGGTTTGGTGTGTGGGTCTCTCTCTCTTTCTTCTCCCCTTCCTTCCAACCCTCCCCTCCCCCCCCCCTCTCTCTCTCCCTCTCAGCTCTCTCTTCTCTCTCTCTCTCTCTCTCTCTCTTTCTCTCTCTCTCTCTCTCTCTCTCTCTCTCTCTCTCTCTCTCTCTCTCTCTCTCTCTCTCTCTCTCTCTCTCTCTCTCTCTCTCTCTCTCTCTCTCTTCCACTCCCTCTCTCTTCCACTCTCTCTCTCTCTCTCTTCCTCTCCTCTCTCTTCCTCTCCCTCTCCCTCTCTCTCCTCTCTCTCTCTCTCCCTCTCTCTCTCTCTCTCTCTCTCTCTCTCTCTCTCCTCTCTCTCTCTCTCTCTCTCTCTCTCTCTCTCTCTCTCCCTCTCTCTTCCACTCCCTCTCTCTTATTCCTCTCTCCTCTCTCTCTCCTCTCTCCTCTCCCTCTCTCTCTCTCTCTCTCTCTCTCTCTCTCTCTCTCTCTCTCTCTCTCTCTCTCTCTCTCTCTCTCTCTCTCTCTCTCTCTCTCTCCCTCCCTCTCTCTCCCTCTCTCCCTCTCTCCCTCTCTCTCTCTCACTCTCTCTCTCTCTTTCTCTCTCTCTCTCTCTCTCTCTCTCTCTCTCTCTCTCTCTCTCTCTCTCTCTCTCTCTCTCTCTCTCTCTCTCTCTCTCTCTCTCTCTCATTCTTCACGTTGGTCGTACCTCGTACTTCCTGGCCATGTCATATCCTAGTTGAAGATCCTTGTTTTGAAGAGCCAAGGAGAAGCCAGGATCATAGGAGCCTGTGAACACCACTGGCGCTCCCGTCTCCCACACGAAGCTGTTGCCGGCGCTCAGACGGATCGCCTCCCAGAACACCTTCAGGTCCAGATTGGCTCGTTTAGCTGCCACGAACAAGTGATTTCACAAAGTAAACTAATAAATAAATTATTATCTTATTACAAATATAACATATACAAAAGTAATTAACAGTTACAGAGGTTAAACTTAGTAAGTATTTTTGTTTACTATATAACTATATAAAGATATTAATTACGGTTCCCGTTTTGGTCAAATATATATGGGATAGTTTGCTGAGCTTAAGCTAACTTGGCGCTTAAGTAGCCCATATTTTATTAACACTCTTACCTCGTTCCTTTTCTATCCAGATCACTATCCATTAACCATTATCTCCATACTGGCAGCAGAAAAGTTACACCCAGAATGAAAATTTGTCATCTGACCATTCATTTTTCATATCTGTAGCTGAATACTCAACTTTTTATTAAATACATGATAAAATCTACGGACTCTGGAACAAATATTTCATATTTACTGAATTTGTGAAGGGGCCGATCCTCGTATGATACTTCTGATACTATCAACAGTCCTCCAAAGTTTAATGGGACTTGCCCTAGGCATCTAGCCTTCAATCTTGGACAAATATTATATTTATAGATATTAATAAGTCAAACTATTCTAGTAATATTGAATATATAATGTAGCTAAACATACAAAACACCCTCATATATATATATATATAATATATATATATATATATATATATATATATATATATATATATATATATATATATATATATATAATAAAGGTGAAAACATGGGGGGATACATAAGGGATAAATGTGAGGTGAAACATAGGGGCTGCAGAAGGCTTATTGGCCCATACGAGGCAGCTCCTATCTAAACACAAAGATTAATCCAGTGTAATTGGCCTGTTATGTTGGACATTGTCTTCTGTGTTGGCATCAATATGTTCTTGTCTTGTCCTTACTCTCATGGTGGGTAGAGTAAATAGTTCCGTGATTTGGGTGTTCATGGTAGGTCGCTCTATTCTTATGTGAATTGCCTCAAGAATTTGTAATTTGTAAGATTACAAATTCTTGAGGCAATTCACATAAGAATAGAGCGACCTACCATGAACACCCAAATCACGGAACTATTTACTCTACCCACCATGAGAGTAAGGACAAGACAAGAACATATTGATGCCAACACAGAAGACAATGTCCAACATAACAGGCCAATTACACTGGATTAATCTTTGTGTTTAGATAGGAGATGCCTCGTATGGGCCAATAAGCCTTCTGCAGCCCCTATGTTTCACCTCACATTTATCCCTTATGTATCCCCCCATGTTTTCACCTTTATTGTATTATCACCTGACCCAGTGCGGGTATAAAATCAACTAGTATATATATATATATATATATATATATATATATATATATATATATATATATATATATATATATATATATATATATATATATATATATATATACACACACACTCCAGAATTCTACCACAGATCAAATACCCAACATATCACCATCATCATGTATACCCCTACATACTAGCAGAAACATACCTCCCACATACCACATTGTCCCCCCCCAGGATACCACCACCTACATAATCCCCCAACACTATAATCCCCAACATACCGCCACCTACATAATCCCCAACATACCCTCCCACTACAGAACCCCAACATACGAAAACCCAAATACCTCCCTACCATAATCCCCAACATAGTCCCAACATACCGAGCATGAGGACCTCCCCCATGGCAATGACGTGAACGCATGCCAGCATGTTGGAGACCACCTTCACCAACATGGCTGTCCCCACCTCGCCAATATAGAGAACTTCGAGGTACGATGCCTGTATGGGAGGGAGAGAGAGAGAGAGAGAGAGAGAGAGAGAGAGAGAGAGAGAGAGAGAGAGAGAGAGAGAGAGAGAGAGAGAGAGAGAGAGAGAGAGAGAGAGAGAGAGAGAGAGAGAGAGAGAGAGAGAGAGAGAAGAAAAATAATCTTATTAGATAAAATTATTAATGGTAGTATTTAACACAAAGAAATCCCACTCACGTGATATATCAATAAGAAAATATATTATAGCAATGCGGGGATTCGAACCCTCTACCTGTGTACTCCAAGCCGCGCACCTTACCCCTGAACCATGACATGGTATAAGTCATACAACCTGGGATTCTACAGGTGGAACTTATACCTTGTCGTGTACTCTAGTACTGATACTCTATCTCCCTTACCCTGCCCCCTCCTACTCACCTCCAATATGGGCTTCATGGCCTCAGCCACGGACCTCTCGCCGGCAAGATAGACCACCATCTGGCCCTTCTTCAGCGCCTCTAGGCCCCCTGTGATCGGGGCCTCCAGCACGTGGGCCCCTGTCGCCAGGGCCTCTTCACAGTACCTCTGTATACACCATACACCAGTATATTAATACACGCTCCGGTAATACAAACTCCAGTACACTCTAATAGGCACTTTAGTGCGTCATACACCCATACACGATGGGAGCATGTGTTTATGTGTGAATCCGGATTGAATGAATCCGGATCCATCAAGCATTTACCCCTTATGAAACCCGTACATCTGTCCTCAATAATGGTGGCTGGTTTACATTTATTAAATAAGTTTATGAGCTCCGAAGCACTGCAAAATTGTTTATAACAATCATGAACTATTGTTAATTAAACTTAGACCTGCAGGAAGCAAGGCTTCCGCTGTTCCGACCACTCCAAGTGGTTGGTAAGGCACCTTGAAGAACCGAAGCGGCCCAAGATATAGTCCTGCTTTACCCATAAAGATCCCAACCCGTTCTCGCACTTGCTTATAGTCAATAATCTTGCTTATGAATAAGTGCATATGTGATATACTAATTTATTGTGAATATTTGAGTTTACCTTGAAAAGCTGAATAGAAAACCACAACCTAACCTAACCTTCTTAGTATATTAAGATATTACAATTAGTACTGAACCTATACCTATATGTATATTACAGTTTTATAAAAAATAATAAAACAAAACTAAAATATTTAAATAAATTGTAAAGTAACTCAGGATATTGTCAAATTTTGTATAAAATCTTTATTGTTTAAAAGACCCAGCCTCACCTTGGTCTGTTCAGAGTCGGTGGTAGAGTGGTCAATCCACACTTTACCCTCGCTGAGGCCGGCCAAGATGCCCTCAGGGCCTTCTGCTGCCGCCTTGACGTTCGGTGGCCGAGGGAGACCTATTATAAAGAGCTCATTAAGTGGCGCTGTCAGATGGAACGCTAGATTAAGCAGGATGTCTTAAGACGTTGTGCTGTGGGTAGATAGAATATAATATACAAGGTAATATGCATATATATACATGAATACATACAATCTGGGACGTTATGTGGTGCTCGGCTAAAGGTGTTGACGTACTGACCTGTAATGACCACTTGGGCGGCTTCCGCGACCTCCCTGGCGCAGGAGAGGGCGGGGACCCCTGGTGGCAGGTCAGCCAGGCGGGCGGGGTCAGGGTCATACGCCCCCACCACCCTGAACCCTTTCCGCACTAGATTATGGGTCACCGCCTGCCCTGGGGGGCACAAACATCAACTTTAACCAACTTATACTCCTCAATTTCAATCAACTTAGAAGCATAAACTTTAGTCAACTTAAAAACATCAACTTTAACAAATTTATTGATTTTCCACGAATTTCTAGAGTATTCGAATTCTCTAGAATTTTTCACTAGTCGTAAATTAAAGATCAAGGAGCCTAATGTGGGTCGCAAGCCGCGATGTGACCACCCCTGGTCTTAGCACAACCCGTTCTCGCACTCTTAACTTATCAGAGGACCTAAAACAGAAAACGGGACAGTATGTCAATTTCGCGAGCCACTACCATTCTCTAGTACGATCATTTTTGGCCTTAGGTAGACTTTACGTCAAAATGCGACGTTCTATTAGATATAATGCTCTAGTATGTGTTCCTCTCTTTGTCCACTCACTTTGCACTTCATCTAGCAGCCCGTCCTCTTAAAATACCGTCGCTTTTCGTTCCTATGCGCGCTATGGCCAAAAGTGGACGTAATTTGAAATGAAATCTGCTCACGAAAGTGACGTACGGTCTCGTTTTCTGTTGAGTCCTCCGGCTCACTATTTTCGGCCATACGGCTAAATTCAGACGTAATTTGTAAGATGACATGTTGATCTATCCCTATTATAAGCCGAACTGCCTGAGATACTTGTAACTAAACCTTATTTGAGCTGTGATATAGCACAGTTTACATTAGCTATGGGTTACATTTAGGTCTAATGTATATTTTGTAATTGATAAATATTATAGAAACATTTAACTAAAAATAACATGACTGATGACCTAAAAATAAGCACCAATACTTATAAAGTATATTTCAATAAAATACTGAATTGTACATTAGAATTCTATACATTATTATCGTTATATTTTATTTATTACAAAGTAATAAAATACAGTGTTTCTAACGCTAAATAACTTTGCAGTTACATAAAGGGTAAGAATGATACTATTTTGCACCTATTTGGATTAGGCGAACCCTATTCAGAAATGTGCAGTACTTTCTCAGCACTAATTTGAAAATTATCTGAATTAGTAACTTAACCTATTCTAAAAGATATAGATATATTGGATGCAGGTCTATATGATGCATTGTGCTTTTTGAATGCAGGTTCATGAGACGCTGCGCTATATGGATCCAGTAAAAATTTGGATGACATAATTAACCTAGAGAATACGAGCCACACAATGCTAAATGTGTTCTCCTATATCCATGAAGCTTTGCACCCCATAGGCCTATGTCCAACACATCCACACTCCTTAATCAGAATCTCTGGGAATAAGTTTTGACAAAAAAGCTGTGCACTTTTAAGAGTGGGGCGGTTTTAACCTTGCGCAGGCCGGGCTTACCAACATTGCCGCATCCCACGACGCCCAGAGTAGTGGCCTTGGTTGCCGTGGCAACTCCGCGCTTCATAGATATACATGGCGCCAATCTGGCAACAGCCGCCAAGCGAAACATCTGCAAAAGTCATTTTCTGAGATTCAAAGTCAGCTCTTCAAGCAATTGATTATCCAACTTGCAATAAAGATACCGTAAATGTTGCAACATATATTATAAATAAAATAACTGACACACACACATCAGGAGTTTCAGAATAAGTCAACATAAAACATCCACTAGACAGTGTGACATTGTAATTGCCAGAATTAGGCTGGGATATTGATGGGTATGGACCCCATACCCATCTGGTGGGTGGTAGTGGACCCCATACCCATCCTGTGGGTGGTAGTGGACCCCATACCCAAGTGGACCCCTTCGACAAGCCGCCGGCTTTCTGTCCTCGTCGAGGCCACTAGTGTTAGTGGCTTTCAGGTAAATTCAGGCAAAGCAACCGTGAAAATCAACACCTGCAGTTCCTTGAGAAACCTCCAGATGGCGGGAAAGTTGCCATCTGTCATCTGTCAGTGTTGGTGATGTCGTGTAGTTGGAGCACTGTAACTGCCTCTCACTGTAACTGCCTCTCACTGTAACTGCCTCTCACTGTAACTACCTGTCACTGTATCTACCTCTCACTGTAACTACCTCTCACTGTAACTACCTCTCACTGTAACTACCTGTCACTGTAACTACCTCTCACTGTAACTACCTGTCACTGTAACTACCTGTCACTGTAACTACCTCTCACTGTAACTACCTCTCACTGTAACTACCTCTCACTGTAACTGCCTCTCACTGTAACTACCTTTGCGGGCTCACTATAGCCCGTCCTATATGGAGTTCTTTTTTTTTCCTTGCAGGGATATTCCTGCGCAAGCCCTAAGCCTCTGGCTGGCCCACTGGGCGGGCCCTAAGCCTCTGGCTGGCCCACTGGGCGGGCCCTAAGCCTCTGGCTGGCCCACTGGGCGGGCCCTAAGCCTCTGGCTGGCCCACTGGGCGGGCCCTAAGCCTCTGGCTGGCCCACTGGGCGGGCCCTAAGCCTCTGGCTGGCCCACTGGGCGGGCCTTAAGCCTCTGGCTGGCCCACTGGGCGGGCCTTAAGTCTCTGGCTGGTCCACTGGGCGGGCCCTAAGCCTCTGGCTGGCCCACTGGGCGGGCCCTAAGCCTCTGGCTGGCCCACTGTGCGGACCCTAAACCTCTGGCTGGTCCACTGGGCGAGCCCTAAGCCTCTGGCTGGCCCACTGGGCGGGCCTTAAGCCTCTGGCTGGCCCACTGTGCGGGCCCTAAGCCTCTGGCTGGCCCACTGGGCGGGCCCTAAGCCTCTGGCTGGCCCACTGGGCGGGCCCTAAACCTCTGGCTGGTCCACTGGGCGAGCCCTAAGCCTTTGGCTGGCCCACTGGGCGGGCCCTAAGCCTCTGGCTGGCCCACTGGGCGGGCCCTAAGCCTCTGGCTGGCCCACTGTGCGGGCCCTAAACCTCTGGCTGGCCCACTGGGCGAGCCCTAAGCCTCTGGCTGGCCCACTGGGCGGGCCCAAAGCCTCTGGCTGGCCCACTGGGCGGGCCCTAAACCTCTGGCTGGCCCACTGGGCGGGCCCTAAGCCTCTGGCTGGCCCACTGTGCGGGCCCTAAGCCTCTGGCTGGCCCACTGTGCGGGCTCTAAGCCTCTGGCTGGCCCACTGGGCGGGCCCTAAGCCTCTGGCTGGTCCACTGGGCGGGCCCTAAGCCTCTGGCTGGCCTACTGTGCGGGCCCTAAGCCTCTGGCTGGCCCACTGGGCGGGCCCTAAGCCTCTGGCTGGCCCACTGTGCGGGCCCTAAGCCTCTGGCTGGCCCACTGTGCGGGCCCTAAGCCTCTGGCTGGCCCACTGTGCGGGCCCTAAGCCTCTGGCTGGCCCACTGGGCGGGCCCTAAGCCTCTGGCTGGTCCACTGGGCGGGCCCTAAGCCTCTGGCTGGCCCACTGCGCGGGCCCTAAGCCTCTGGCTGGCCCACTGGGCGGGCCCTAAGCCTCTGGCTGGCCCACTGTGCGGGCCCTAAGCCTCTGGCTGGCCCACTGGGCGGGCCCTAAGCCTCTGGCTGGCCCACTGCGCGGGCCCTAAGCCTCTGGCTGGCCCACTGGGCGGGCCCTAAGCCTCTGGCTGGCCCACTGGGCGGGCCCTAAGCCTCTGGCTGGCCCACTGCGCGGGCCCTAAGCCTCTGGCTGGCCCACTGGGCGGGCCCTAAGCCTCTGGCTGGCCCACTGGGCGGGCCCTAAGCCTCTGGCTGGCCCACTGGGCGGGCCCTAAGCCTCTGGCTGGCCCACTGGGCGGGCCCTAAGCCTCTGGCTGGCCCACTAAGTGTTGCTTATTTCTGTTTTACTTGGGCGGAGTGTGAGTATTTATGACTCGTATGGTCGCTTCAGTAAGATTTTGTCATATGTGTTTAACAACTTCTTCTGCTCTGTTGAATCTAAGTTGAAATCTTAATGGGTTTGTAACTGTGCACTGTGTTAGATAATGTTCCAGTGGTCTGTTGTGGGTGTAAGTGTGCACTGTGTTAGATAATGTTCCAGTGGTCTGTTGTGGGTGTAAGTGTGCACTGTGTTAGATAATGTTCCAGTGGTCTGTTGTGGCTGTAAGTGTGCACTGTGTTAGATAATGTTCCAGTGGTCTGTTGTGGCTGTAACTGTGCACTGTGTTAGATAATGTTCCAGTGGTCTGTTGTGGTTGTAACTGTGCACTGTGTTAGATAATGTTCCAATGGTCTGTTGTGGTTGTAACTGTGCACTGTGTTAGATAATGTTCCAGAGGTCTGTCGGGCATTTCTCCAGTGTCGACATTTCCTCTCATCTTCCGGAACCTGTAAGCCTATTCCCCATGCACATGGGTATCCAAGCCTGATGCGATGTAAGTGTACTTCTGTTGTTCTACTATTCCCTTTCATCAAACTAAGTAGTTCGTAGTTGGTTGAATTCTTGTACCAACCCGCAGATCCTGATGTTGCAACTGCTGTGTTGTGGTCACTGTACATCACCTGCATTGCTCTGTTTCTAATTACTTTCTTAATCTGTGATAGACTCTGTGGTATGTAAATGTCTACATTTCTTCCCTTAGTTGCAAGTTTTGCAGCATCATCTACAATGTCATTTCCTATTATTCCCACATGACTTGGCACCCAGTTGATAAGTACCCGTCGGCCTTGTCGTTTGAGTGTTTGCATGAATGATAAGACATTTGTGATCAGATGGATGTTATCACATATGTGTTCTTGTTGCAAGGTTTCAATGGCGGTTCTTCAATCTGTATGTGTGATAACATGTTGTCGGTGTTCAGCAAGAACATGTTCCAAAGCCTTCTGAATGGCTAGCATCTCTGTAAAGTCGAACACTCATTTGAGAGTCTCCAACTATTTATAGAGTAGAGAAGTTCTGAGTGGCTAAATCTGAAACAACAAAAAGATATACACTCCTCTCCGAGTATAACCTGAGTGGCTGTACGTGCCCCAGTATATAACCTGAGTGGCTGTACGTGCCCCAGTATATAACCTGAGTGGCTGTACGTGTCCCAGTATATAACCTGAGTGGCTGTACGTGTCCCAGTATATAACCTGAGTGGCTGTACGTGCCCCAGTATATAACCTGAGTGGCTGTACGTGTCCCAGTATATAACCTGAGTGGCTGTACGTGTCCCAGAATATAACCTGAGTGGCTGTACGTGTCCCAGAATATAACCTGAGTGGCTGTACGTGTCCCAATATATAACCTGAGTGGCTGTACGTGTCCCAGTATATAACCTGATTGGCTGTACGTGTCCCAGAATATAACCTGAGTGGCTGTACGTGCCCCAGAATATAACCTGAGTGGTTGTACGTGTCCCAGAATATAACCTGAGTAGCTGTACGTGTCCCAATATATAACCTGAGTGGCTGTACGTGTCCCAGTATATAACCTGAGTGGCTGTACGTGTCCCAGAATATAACCTGAGTGGCTGTACGTGCCCCAGAATATAACCTGAGTGGTTGTACGTGTCCCAGAATATAACCTGAGTGGCTGTACGTGTCCCAATATATAACCTGAGTGGCTGTACGTGCCCGAGTATAATAACCTGAGTGGCTGTACGTGCCCGAGAATATAACCTGAGTGGCTGTACGTGTCCCAGTATATAACCTGAGTGGCTGTGCGTGCCCGAGAATATAACCTGAGTGGCTGTACGTGCCCGAGTATAATAATCTGAGTGGCTGTACGTGTCCCAGTATATAACCTGAGTGGCTGTACGTGCCCGAGTATAATAACCTGAGTGGCTGTACGTGCCCGAGAATATAACCTGAGTGGCTGTACGTGCCCGAGAATATAACCTGAGTGGCTGTACGTGCCCGAGTATAATAACCTGAGTGGCTGTACGTACCCGAGAATATAACCTGAGTGGCTGTACGTGCCCGAGTATAATAACCTGAGTGGCTGTACGTGCCCGAGAATATAACCTGAGTGGCTGTACGTGTCCCAGTATATAACCTGAGTGGCTGTGCGTGCCCCAGAATATAACCTGAGTGGCTGTACGTGTCCGAGAATATAACCTGAGTGGCTGTACGTGTCCCAGTATATAACCTGAGTGGCTGTACGTGTCCCAATATATAACCTGAGTGGCTGTGCGTGTCCCAGAATATAACCTGAGTGGCTGTACGTGCCCCAGAATATAACCTGAGTGGCTGTACGTGTCCCAGTATATAACCTGAGTGGCTATACGTGCCCCAGAATATAACTTGAGTGGCTGTACGTGCCCGAGAATATAACCTGAGTGGCTGTACGTGTCCCAGAATATAACCTGAGTGGCAGTACGTGCCCCAATATATAACCTGAGTGGCTGTACGTGCCCCAGAATATAACCTGAATGGCTGTACGTGCCCGAGAATATAACCTGAGTGGCTGTACGTGCCCCAGAATATAACCTGAGTGGCTGTACGTGCCCGAGAATATAACCTGAGTGGCTGTACGTGCCCCAGAATATAACCTGAGTGGCAGTACGTGTCCCAATATATAACCTGAGTGGCTGTACGTGTCCGAGAATATAACCTGAGTGGCTGTACGTGTCCCAATATATAACCTGAGTGGCAGTACGTGCCCCAGTATATAACCTGAGTGGCTGTACGTGCCCGAGAATATAACCTGAGTGGCAGTACGTGCCCCAGTATATAACCTGAGTGGCTGTACGTGCCCCAGAATATAACCTGAGTGGCTGTACGTGTCCGAGAATATAACCTGAGTGGCTGTATGTGCTCCAATATATAACCTGAGTGGCTGTACGTGTCCCAGAATATAACCTGAGTGGCTGTACGTGTCCCAGTATATAACCCTGAGTGGGTGTACGTGCCCCAGAATATAACCTGAGTGGCTGTACGTGTCCTAGAATATAACCTGAGTGGCAGTACGTGTCCCAATATATAACCTGAGTGGCTGTACGTGTCCCAGAATATAACCTGAGTGGCTGTACGTGTCCCAGTATATAACCTGAGTGGCTGTACGTGTCCCAATATATAACCTGAGTGGCTGTACGTGCCCGAGTATAATAACCTGAGTGGCTGTACGTGTCCCAGTATATAACCTGAGTGGCTGAGCGTGCCCGAGTATAATAACCTGAGTGGCTGTACGTGCTTCTGGGCCCAGAGCCCCGCTCCTGTGCCAGGTAAGTCCACTACGGGCTGTTTACAACGTCTTGTTCCCACTGACTGAATCTAAAACATCAATAACATGTTTGTGTCAGTCTTGCGTGCCTGGAGAACTCACTTAATTGTGCTTGCGGGGGGGGGGGGCAATAGAGCCTATTGGGCTCTATCATATCTACACTTGAAACTGTGTGTATGGAGTCAGCCTCCACCACATCACTGCCTAATGCATTCCATCTGTTAACTACTCTGACACTACTAAAGTTCTTTCTAATGTCTCTGTGGCTCATTTGGGCACTCAGTTTCCACCTGTACTCATCTAGTTGTGCTTGCGGGGGTTGAGCTCTGGCTCTTTGGTCCCGTCTCTCAACTGTCAATCAACTGAACCTGTGTTCCCTTGTTCGTGTACCAAGATACAAGTTGCAGAAATGTTGATTTCTGGTTACATGAGAATAAAAAGAAATTGCAGAAGGTCTATTGACCCATATGAGGCAGCTCCTACTTCATATAAACCCAAACTCATTCATATACATGTCTAACCTTCGCTTGAAACAACTCAGGGACCCCTGCTTCTATTATGTTACATGTTAATCTGTTCCACAAATCAATAACCCTGTTTCTAAACCAGTATTTACCCAGGTCTTTCCTAAATCTAAACTTATCCAATTTAATATTTTTTCATTGTTTCGGGGGACAGACAGTCAGTGTATATATATACAGTAAATGTTAGGATTGTATCGAGGTGCTCCCTTCCCCTAGGGAAGGGTCAAATTACTAAACCTGCCCAGGATGTAACCCCATAACAAGCTGATTAACTCCTGAGTACCTATTTACTGCTAGGTGAACAGGTGCATGAGGTGATAGGAAACGCACCTAAGCATTTTTGCGTCACCCGGGATTCGAACTCGGAATTGCCGATTGTGTGTCGAGAAAATTTCATAGGGTTCCATTTTGTGTTTATATAGTTAAGAGGTGTAGGAAGTTTTCTTAAGATCGTGAATTAACATCTCAAAAGGATAGAGCAGCTTAGGCTTTTTCTACCTTCGTCTATTTAAGGTCCTTCAAGGGGCTCACAAATCCATATAACCCACAAATATTAATCATATATTACCTTTCATTTATTTATTTATTTATTTATTTATTTATATATATACAAGAAGGTACATTGGGTTTGTGAGAATACATTGGATAGTACAGTATTTACACTCTTGTAAAGCCACTAGTACGCGCAGCGTTTCGGGCAGGTCCTTAATCTAGCAGATAATTTTAAGTGGGTAATTTCAATCAGAATTGATAAATGATAAAGATACAATACAAGAGAAAAATGAGATGAGAGAGATAAGTAGGTATATTAAAGCATATTGTTATATTAAAGCTCTGATTCATATTCCATTAGTAATCACACGGCATACTGTGATAACTTATTGACTATGCTGCCCCTGTCATAGCTTGTTTTGGTGAAGAGTAGACTAAACAAGGTGAAGAAGAAGGTACAAAATGAAGCCATGAAAATAATCTTGGGAAGCCTAAGTATTACTGCGATTAAGATGTTAAATACCAATAATTTCAGACCAGATGCTTAGAGTGTACTACTGCAGGCTTATACATAAGCCTTGCACTACATGTTCTCTCCAGATTATGTATATATATATATATATATATATATATATATATATATATATATATATATATATATATATATATATATATATATATATATATATATATATATGTCGTACCTAGTAGCCAGAACGCACTTCTCAGCCTACTTTGCAAGGCCCAATTTGCATAATAAGCCAAGTTTTCATGAATTAATTGTTTTTCGACTACCTAACCTACCTAACCTAACCTAACCTAACTTTTTCTGCTACCTAACCTAACCTAACCTATAAAGACAGGTTAGGTTAGGTTAGGAAGGGTTGGTTAGGTTCGGTCATATATCTAAGTTAATTTTAATGCCAATAAAAAAAATGACCTATTACATAGTGAAATGGGTAGCTTTATCATTTCATAAGAAAAAAATTAGAGAAAATATATTATTTCAGGAAAAATTGGCTTATTAGGCAAATCGGGCCTTGCATAGTAGGCTGAGAAGTGCGTTCTGGCTACTAGGTACGACATATATATATATATATATATATATATATATATATATATATATATATATATATATATATATATATATATATATATATATATATTCAGCTTACCTCAGTAGAGGGCGGGAGACGGGGGCTGTGTCTTTGTGAATGATGGCTGAAGATTCAGCCGTCCAAGAGATGGCACAGTGCCACCAACGCTTCATTTATACTGGCACCTCTCTATAGTTGCCATATGTCGTCTACAATGTTTTCTTTGTGGCTTCTTATATTAACTTTTTCCACATTTCACCATATTGTGAATCAAAGGGGAGGGAGGGGCCCGGGGTTCTTCATAAGGAAACTCATCTAGATGAGTTCTTTTAACTGTTTAACCATTTGTAAATTTAAAGATAATTATGTAACACTAGTTCGCTACAGCTGGTACAGTGCTTAGCTCATTGGAGTCCAGAACCTATTATGTAATTCAGAACTTTCTGTCACTCACCCAGTTTGGGTTGACCTATCAACCTTCGGAGGGTTATTAAGACCCAACAAATATACTTTAAGACCCAACAAATATACTTTAGTCTATCGTACGTAAAGCCAAATTTTCTTTTTAAGAGAATAGATTTAAATAAGAAAAAGGGAACATGAAAAGCCATCTCTAGCATCCTAGGATAAGGATCAAATAACAAGCAAGTGTATAACTCTCCAGAGATGGTTATACACTCGCAACACACATAGAAACGGCGACTGAATTCAATAGCTTCCATTCGTCAACCGGTGCAAACCTTGCCAGAAGAATCCCTGAGACCCAGACACACATATATACATATATCACAGGCAAAACAGGGAACAGGGTTGTTGGTTTGTGGAACAGATTACCGGGTGACGTGATAGACACGGGATCACATGATTGTTTCAAGTGTAGGTTAGACACACATGAGTTTGAGTGGATAAGAGCCAACACATATAGACCATTAGGCCTTTTGCAATTTCCTTAATTCTTTTATGCTCTTAATCGCTAATATTACTTTGCTTGTTCCTCCCCCTTAACTTCCCCTTGGATGACTCCATATCCACCAGTTTCTCATCCGTCCACCTTCTTCCTTATCTTCCACTATCTACTCCCACTGCTCTCCCTATTTCCACGGGAGTTATCTCCCGTCACGGGAGGGTGTCTTTTTTTTCTTTAAGAAAAATTTTTAAGAAAATTTCTTTACTTTTCAATTTTAGTTTTTTAAAGATTAGTGTGTGCCTTGTAAGAAGTATATTATTATTTAATCAAGGTCTCTTAGTCAAGTTGGCTTCGTCCTTGACTCACAATTGGGGATCCTGGGTTCAAGTCCCCGGACAGAAGTGGTTAGGCACGTTTCCTTTCACCTAGCGGTAAATAGATACCCGAGAGTTAGGCAACTACTGTAGCGTCGATTCCTGGGAAAGGTCTGGAGTAATTCACGAAGCAGTTACGCAAGCACTTACGAACCTCTACATCTTTTCTCAATCTTTGGCGGCTTTGTTTACAATTATTAAACAGTTAATGAGCTCCGAAGCACGAAGAGGCAATTTATAACAATAACAACAGTTGATTGGGAAGTTTTCATGCTTGTAAACTGTTTAATAAATGTAACATTAGCCTTCAACAATTGAGGAAAGATGTACACGTTCCTAAGTATATGCAACCCGTCCTCGACTCAAATCCATTACATCCAGCGGTCGACCCCACAGACGCATTCATAAATTCTAACTTGCTGTTTATTCAAAACGGGAATTTTCTCAAGTATAAATTAATATTATAATATATTAGCATATTGTGTATAAATAGGCATAGGTTAGGTTAGGTGTTTAGGTTCTGTTGGCGATTATTTGTATTTGTAGTACGTGGGTGAAGCATTTACAGCGTTGTGGTTCGAACACCAGTCGTCAGTGAAGCACTTGTTCCGGAAGTGTTCGAACGTCAGCAGTTGTGAGTCGTGTGTAAACCGCTTTTCATTCATAAACGGGGTTTGGCGGGTGGATGGAATCACTTTTGGATCTTTGTTTGGAGGACGGGCTGGTATATGCATAACTGCTTTGTGAATCAAGCCCTTGTAGTCCAACCTTTAGGGGACTGCAATACAAGCCTAATATATATATATATATATATATATATACACACACACACACACACACAGGTTTCCTGTCCCCAACAAAACAAATTATTAAGGTATGCACATTGTTTTTCTGATAGAGAAAACAATTACAATACAGCACATAATTTCAAAATGCATTATTTCCATTCATATACTGTATACATTTGCCTAATACCATATGAAGCTTTACGAATAAATAAGGATAATTAAATTTTGGAAATATATTCAGGATTTTAATAACCTCTTTGAAACAAACTTTAATAAGCTCAAATGTCAACAACACACCTTAACCCTTAGGCCTGCACACCTGTTATTCATTAACAACTCCACAGTACATATGGAAAAAAATTATTTTTAATATTGTTAAAATGTGTTCCCTGATCACAAACGGGGAGAATGTATCCGATATACTTTGACCGTGATGGAGCGAGGAAAGTCTAGCAAGGGCTCACCTTAGCCCGTGCTACTTGGCACTTTTGTTCCGAGGAGCTGACTCTAAAACAGCAGCAGCAACAGCACCAGTTGCCCCGCTGTGGTCTGCCCTGGGGTGGGAGTTGCTGCGAAGATGTTATTTATTTCAATGTCTCTGATTGGTCTGTTCTCTCTACTATGCAGTAATATTATTCAATTCTGTGTATTTAAGTTTATATAATAAAATGTGTGGAACGTCGCCAAACTCAAAAATATGGTGTGTGCATATTACTGAAAATTAATATATTCTTAGAACAATAAAACTGTTTTTGCCATTATTACACTGCATAGACACTATTTATATACGTAACTCACATCAACTACATTTTCGTGCACCATTAGGAACCACTAAGCATTTCTGGGAGTGTAATAATCTTTTTAACCGGTTATCAGAGCAGAGCCCAGTCCTGCATTTGTGAACTAAGTTCTAACAGAATGTATTGAATGTTTAATACATTTTTCATATCTTAAATGTTTTTCCGTGGTTTTATCCAAGTGCAATGTTGTATTGGGCTGTCAATATTATTATTTGCATCATAGAATATGTAAAATGATAAGAGATATTCATGTTACTGATTTGAATTGAATATTATATCTTTTGATCAATAAAACGTACTGTTTTGGTTGTTATTACACTATACACATATACAAAACCACCTGCATTTCCCTTGCACCATAACAAGCCACTAAGTTTTTTTTTTTGAGATATATACAAGAGTTGTTACATTCTTGTACAGCCACTAGTACGCGTAGCGTTTCGGGCAAGTCCTTAATCCTATGGTCCCTGGAATACGATCCCCTGCCGCGAAGAATCGTTTTTTCATCCAAGTACACATTTTACTGTTGCGTTAAACAGAGGCTACAGTTAAGGAATTGCGCCCAGTAAATCCTCCCCGGCCAGGATACGAACCCATGACATAGCGCTCGCGGAACGCCAGGCGAGTGTCTTACCACTACACCACGGAGACTGAAGTTGTTCTGGCAAGTCCAAACTGTATTGCGAGACCACCTGTTACTCGGCTGACAATGCCACCTGACTTAGCAAAATTCCTCAACATACTGCACACATATCACTAATACTAGGCTCAATGCTATCAGAATCCTGGTCACAAAATATTGACAATTAATTTCCCATAATTTTATTTCTTAAAGGAATATGAGCTGTCGTCTCAAGGCACTTAGATGCACCTAGCAACAATGAAGGCTGTGATATCGTGATGTGATCATAAACAGCATAGTGTTCACAGATATTTGAACATTGTACGTCTCTTATAGCAGTCAGGATCTTTACAAATGAATAGCATTTACTTACATAGTTCGTCATTTTTAAGTGATGCTGTGGACACTAGCTAAACAGTGGTGCTATTAGCTCGTGCTGCATGCACTATCCTTGGTTGCTCACTCACTGCAGTACTGAAACCTTCTCACCTAGGAGAGGTGTCCACAATTTTTTCTTCAAAATGGTGTCCGTTTACTGGAGGCCCGAGATAGCCGATGTGCGCCCCCTGGAGTTTTAAATCTTACAGGGGTATGTTAAATCATCCCAAGATGACTGACACAGGTTGGTCAGATATGCTGCAGTCACTCCAATATGACTCGTGCAGCAGAAGGGTTAAAGTGCTTAGTCGTCAAAAACCAAGACTTTAAATAACGTCCAAAAATGGCCAACACTTATTACAACAATGAACTTAAATTTATACTGAATGCCATGGGTAGATAGATAAACTGAAGGTAAAATAGACACAATTCATCACTCATAATTAACTAGCTTCTGTTAACAGACTGAAAAGTACAACATTCAATAAACAAATGATATAATCTACTTAACCAGTGTCACAAATTTGAAATTGATGTCAGCTGCAATTATAAAAAAAAATTACAACAACACTATAACACAGTGCTTCAAAATGCTGCCCAAACCCATAAAAATAAATGAATTTTAGTAACCTAGTCTAGATTGCCGAGATCATCCACTTCGTTTTTCCATATGGGAAATACACAGTTGCAAATGTCTACCAATTATGGTCCATTTCGGGAAGAAGATAGTCACTCGTGCTTTGCCCCCTCACAAACACACACTCGCAATGCCCCATTTCCCGTTAGTTTCTCCATCCCTCCCTCATACGTTTTACATGACCCGTTGTGTGCATTTTCTGATGAATTACAGACGACGAGTCACAATAACGTGGCTGAAGTATGTTGACCAGACCACACACTAGAAAATGAAGGGACGACAACGTTTCGGTCCGTCCTGGACCATTCTCAATCGACTTGAAAATGGTCAAGGACAGACCTCGATTAAGAAACATTCTCAAATCTTGATTCTCAATCGCCATCTCAATCGGACGGCAATTGAGAAACATTAACATACATGCAAAGAATTCTGATGAATTCTTTTCATGTATGTTAATGTTTGACAGTGAAAGCAATACTGTTTACAAATTAATTAAACCCACATGAACAACTCTTCAGAAGAATGTTAAAAATGCAGACAATCCCAGCATTTTCATCCTAAAACCTAACAATGGTAGATGTTCATTAACAAGTGGGGACAACTTTTACAGATGGGACTGGCCCACAGGGTACAAATATACCTGTGGATATGGGAGATAATATCAGCCACACACAACACACACACACTGGGACATGTTCCAACTGCTTCAAAAAATAACAAATACAATGCATACAACTTTGGATAAATCATTAAATTACTGCTAATCTCATAACATCTACAGAAAATGTCAAAATAAAATCTAGAGACTAAAGTTTGGCAGCTTAACTCGGGTAAAATACACACATCACCTCTACGTAAGATAACAAAAATGATTTTTCTTTTGCCAGCCAAGCAACATTTTAGATAACCATTCTGGCTATATAAAAATATACCTTTAATACGAGCTTTCCAGCTTACTAATACGAGTAAACTATTTCTTAAAGCTTATATCACAAGTTGTCCAGAACAAATGTATTCATTACCTATGAATCTTTCCATGGTAACATGCCTACTTATCAAGCTGGTTAAGATGCACAAAGAAATAAGATGCCTCTGTATATTAGGTTTTAATTGTTTTCTCAGAAAGCCGATCTCATACAGGTTTGCAAATAGAAGGAGAAAACTTCGTAAATTCAAATCGGATAGTTGCACATCCAGGCCCTGGAGAGGGTGTGTGTAAATAACCTGTTCACGTATGTAAACAAGGGGTATGGATGGAGGCACGTGTAGCCTCTCTCACAGGACTATGTTAAGGCCACATCTCCAGTATCAGTGACATTTTTCAGGCTCAAAACTTCAATCTTGGCTCGACCTTTCGACTGACCGGAGAGGATTTCTTCAATGGTACGGAAATGACCAGGATCAATGAAGCCCACCTGGAAAGCAGATTAATAAATTTAGTGGACGGCAGTACTTATTCACAGCAGATACAAGTCATGTTGTAAACAGCCCAGCCTAACCTAACCCAGCCAAGCCCAACATATTACATCATTATCTCGCAGTATACTCAATTAGACCACAGAAAACGAGCTGTCAAACCATACCCCGCTGTGAAGGGGATATTTAACCATACCCCCTTCACAGCGAGTCTGGTACCTTTTAAAGATTCTCTCAATTGTAACGTTCAATTCAAAAATTGACGTTCATTGTAAACTATGACAACCAAAAACACGAGCTACGTAACTTAACACTTTTGCTCGTTGACGACGCACAATGGTGTCGAAAATAAAAAAAATTTGGCCTGCTTTCGCACTTGGCTGCGGGAGGGGTACACCATGGTTTTGGACATTATATGCATATACTCATGTAGGGAATTTCAATGCAAATACATTGATACCAAAATGAAAGACCTAGGACAAGAATTGAGGTAACAAATTTGAAGAGTATACAGTACACATTTTATTGCTCTTGATGAGCGCTCACTTTCTCTGTTCGCTGTGGGTGGTATGCCGGGCTTTTGGTACACATTTTATTGCTCTTGATGAGCGCTCACTTTCTCTGTTCGCTGTGGGTGGTATGCCGGGCTTTTGGACTTTATATGCCTTTAGTCCTGTAGAGAATTCTATTGCCAACACATTGATACCAAATTGAAAACCCTAGGACGAGAATTAAGATGACAAAGTTGAAAAGAGTATACACTTTTCAGAATTACCACGCTCTCTAATGGAATGCCAGGCCCGCCTTGGGGTGGCGCGGCGCTTTTTTGCAGGTAACCCTCTCTTGTAGGTAACCACGGCCCGCATTCATCTTGTTGGCGGGTGGAACGCGCCGCGGTTTTTGACATTATGTGCATATACTCCTGTAGGGAATTCTATTGCAAACACATTGACCAAAATGAAAGACCTAGGACGAGAATTGAGAACAGATTTAAAGAGTACACACATTTTATTGTTCTTAAGCGCTCCAGGGTAACACGCTCTCACTTTCTCTGTTGTGGATCATACGCCGGGCTTTTGGACTTCATATGCCTTTAGTCTCGTAGAGAATTCTATTGCAAACACATTGATACCAAATTGAAAAACCTTGGATGAGAATTGAAATGACAAAGTTGAAAAGAGTATACACTTTTCAGTATTACCACGCGCTCCTGTGGAATGCTAGGCGCACCTTGGGATGGCATGGTGCTCGCTCGCCCGGCGAAAGAAAGCGTTAAATTTGTCTATTATACATTTTCTTTGATTCTACAAGGCATATAATTTGGTAAACAATATTCATCTTCTTTCTAACACCCATACACCCTTCACCGTATCAAAACAGATTTGACATAGAATACCTAAATACAACAACACTTCACTAAAACTGGATAAGACTAAACTGGAAAAGGTTCAAAGGTTTGCCACCAGACTAGTACCCGAGCTGAGAGGTATGAGCTACGAGGAGAGACTACGGGAATTAAACCTCACTTCGCTGGAAGACAGAAGAGTTAGGGGGGGACATGATCACCACATTCAAGATTCTGAAGGGGATTGATAGGGTAGATAAAGACAGTCTATTTAACACAAGGGGAACACGCACAAGGGGACACAGGTGGAAACTGAGTGCCCAAATGAGCCACAGAGATATTAGAAAGAACTTTTTTAGTGTCAGAGTGGTTGACAAATGGAATGCATTAGGGGGTGATGTGGTGGAGGCTGACTCCATACACAGTTTCAAGTGTAGATATGACAGAGCCCGATAGGCTCAGGAATCTGTACACCTGTTGATTGACGGTTGAGAGGCGGGACCAAAGAGCCAGAGCTCAACCCCCGCAAACACAACTAGGTGAGTACAACTAGGTGAGTACAACTAGGTGAGTACTTCGCCTTCACACTTACAATATTTAGATCTGGGTCAAACGACTCGCTCTCCACCGACACCATCGTTATCACTTTCTCCTTCAGCTTCTTTGCCTCTTTCCCCGGGATTGTCATCCGCACCTTCATCTGGGCCCGCTGAATGGGAATTACCTGAAAGCATTCAAAATATTTAAGTTTCAATATACAGAATAACTTTTTCAAACATTTGCAACAGTATATATCGTGTGTTTACTACTCGAAATGCACGATTAGTGACTTGGGTAAAGCCACTATATATTCGCTACTTAAAGATCACTAATGTCTGCCAGTGGATAGAACAAAAAATCCAAGAAACACTTTGTATATACAATACTCTTGTATCACACTGAAACAAAATACATCAAATACAAACCAAAATAAAAATTACAAGGTATGTTTTTCATAATTAATGCATCTTGCACATTTTTTTAATAAGATATAAGGGGGTTATATTTTCCTTTTGTGTTCTCTTATGTTGTCAAGTGATACTATGTGGGCCTAAGACTGTATGATAAAAGGCATAAACATCTAGAAAGATACATTATCCTGCCATCAAAACAATCTCTCTCAATCAGCTCAAAATGCCATTATCACATGCTGACGGCTTAGTAGGCATCCATCAGTCTCGGGAGACTATGGAGTTACGCTCTGGATCTCGGTCTGGAGTGGCCTCTCCAGGGTGCAAAGCCAGGGTAGGTTGATACGGGGGGAGAAGCTGTCACCCATGCAGCAGGTCCCCCCCCTCCACCTCTCCACGGCTACGTTGTTTACATTAATATCAAACCTTAACGTTCTGTGGTCTCCAAGGAATAAGCCATCAACCATGAGATGGCCAATGCTGCCATTTCCAGTAATATCAAACGTACCTTAACCTTCAAAAGTTCCCCAAGAACGGAGCCGCTGAACACTGGTGTGCCCTGATGCCCGTGTCTAGCCGGGGGTCAACATCAGTCTTGATCACCTCAAGGTGGCCGAGCGGTGGCATAATCAAGACCATAATAAACGTGTTTATAGAGGCAAAGCTCTCATAGAATGGAGATGTATTTATGCATCCAGTCACGACATCATTCAGGAGGCCAGACTACATATTTTAGTTGTACATAATATTCAAAGGTTGAATATGGGAAATAGATTCACGGAAAATGAAAAGGAAATGTGTTAAACATTAAACGAAAAGTTCCAAAGTGTGTTTGTACAAAATGAAATCTTCAGGGAACCAGATACAATAAGAATTCCAGAGAACAACATAGAGCACATAGAGGTGTCTAGAGACGAAGTGGAAAAAATGCTCAAGGAGCTAAATAAGAACAAAGCAGTTGGTCCAGATGGAGTTTCACCATGGGTTCTGAGAGAATGTGCACCCGAGCTCAGCATTCCTCTTCAACTGATTTTTCAGGCATCCCTGTATACAGGAGTTGTAGCTGATGTGTGGAAAAAGGCTAACATAGTGCCAATCTACAAAAGTGGAAGCAGGGAAGACCCCCTTAATTATAGACCGGTATCATTGACAAGTGTAATAGTCAAAATATTGGAAAAAATAATTAAAACTAAATGGGTAGAACACCTGGAGAGAAATGATATAATATCAGACAGACAGTATGGTTTTCGATCTGGAAGATCCTGTGCATCAAATTTACTCAGTTTCTATGATCGAGCAACAGAGATATTACAGGAAAGAGATGGTTGGGTTGACTGCATCTATCTGGACCTAAAAAAAAGGCTTTCGACCTAGTTCCACATAAGAGGTTGTTCTGGAAATTGGAAAATATTGGAGGAGTGACAGGTACGCTTCTAACATGGATGAAAAATTTTCTGACTGATAGAAAAATGAGGGCTGTGATCAGAGGCAATGTATCGGAATGGAGAAATGTCACAAGTGGAGTACCACAGGGTTCAGTTCTTGCACCAGTGATGTTTATTGTCTACATAAATGATCTACCAGTTGGTATACAGAATTATATGAACATGTTTGCTGATGATGCTAAGATAATAGGAAGGATAAGAAACTTAGATGATTGTCATGCCCTTCAAGATGACCTGGACAAAATAAGTACATGGAGCGCCACTTGGCAAATGGAATTTAATGTTAACACTTTCGCGCTCTCGGCGCTCAAAAAAAAACAATACCCCAGATGCTTTCGGCACTTCGCGCGCCTACGCGGTAAGACCGAAAAAGTGTACACTCTTGACTGTCCTGACAATAATTGAAGGCGCCCGTATTTAAATTTGGTATCACTGTATTCGCAATGAAATTGTCTATAAGAGCATACCTATAAAATGCCGCCCAAGCATAAGGAGTATCAACACCAAATAAAAAACTATGCAGATCACTCGCCGAGAGCGCCAAACAGCAACAAAATGTTTCCACTCTCTTAATGGTTGCGAAGTCTACAGTTGTCCTACATCGCTAATTTTGGTATCATTGGAATCGCAATAAAATTCTCTACACGGACATATGCATATGAATGTTTAATATAGGTAATTGCCCACCCGCAAGAGTGTGTGAAGTGGAGAGTAGTTAGCCGCGAGCGCACTGGCGAAAACACAGGGGGGAAATCATGCTTGGAAAGTTTATACGTTTCCTGACCCTACTTTTCTATGTACGTATTTCTTTTTTATACCAATGTGTTCGCAATAAAATTTTCTATAAGATGAACTGTATAACATTTGTACAAAGCATGTGTAAGAGAAGCGCCAAATATAGAACCACGTCGCTCAGTATGCGTTCGCGGCAGAAACGAACGCATTGTTTTCGTTCGTTTGATGTTTGTCATGTTTATACTTGTTGAAACATTTTATAATTTGTATGACAGTGATCGCAGTAAAATTCCCTACACAGACATATACATAACACATACAAATATTTCCCACGTGTTGGATATATCAACGGCTAAAGGGAACCCACTGCCACACGCTCGCCACACCCCCAAACATACTTTGTGTATTTCTTTTTTTACTCATAGAAGTTTGTGATATAATATTCATTCTGGTACCAAAAAATTCGCAAATAAATTCCCTACAAAACAAAAGTATCCCCATCCATTTCGGTTAAAAAATGGAATTTATAGAAATATTTTTTCGATGGACGAGAAAAGTAGGCTGTTATGCGGAATAGTAAGAAAAAACGGCGACGAGTTATCTCTAATCTAAAGCGCGAAAGTGTTAATAAATGCGATGTTATGGAATGTGGAACAGGAGAACATAGACCCCACTCAACCTATATATTATGTGAGAAATCTTTAAAGAATTCTGATAAAGAAAGATCTAGGGGTGGTTCTAGATAGAAAACTATCACCTGAGGACCACATAAAGAATATTGTGCGAGGAGCCTATGCCACGCTTTCTAACTTCAGAATTGCTTTTAAATACATGGATGGCGATATACTAAAGAAATTGTTCACGACTTTTGTTAGGCCAAAGCTAGAATATGCAGCAGTTGTGTGGTGCCCATATCTTAAGAAGCACATCAACAAACTGGAAAAGGTGCAAAGACATGCTACTAAGTGGCTCCCAGAACTGAAGGGCAAGAGCTACGAGGAGAGGTTAGAGGCATTAAATATGCCAAAACTAGAAGACAGAAGAAAAAGAGGTGATATGATCACTACATACAAAATAGTAACAGGAATTGATAAAATCGATAGGGAAGATTTCTTGAGACCTGGAACGTTAAGAACAAGAGGTCATAGATATAAACTAGCTAAACACAGATGCCGAAGAAATATAAGAAAATTCACTTTCGCAAACAGAGTGGTAGACGGTTGGAACAAGTTAGGGGAGAAGGTGGTGGAGGCCAAGACCGTCAGTAGTTTCAAAGCGTTATATGACAAAGAGTGCTGGGAAGACGGGACACCACGAGCGTAGCTCTCATCCTGTAACTACACTTAGGTAATTACACTTAGGTAATTACACACACACCCACCATCGGCATCTGAAAAAGCCTCATTTACATTTTCAAAGTCGATCTGAACACCAATATAATAACTTGTATTGGGAAACCAGATAATGGCAATTTTCCCCAAAATTAAAATATAAATTTATGCCATACTTTTAAACACCACAAAACCAGAAATATACAAGAAATTTTTGTCATCGAGTTCCTCTCAATTTGCGACACCCCTACACATTACAGTACAATCTAAACGGACACCAGTCAAATTGACCACATTCTAAATATTAATGACTAATCTAACATCTCCACATACCCCAGCCAGCTGCTTAATAACGTCAAGGGCCTGCTGCTTGTTGTTGCGCTTGGGGTTCAGCGAGAAATGGATATCTTTCATGGCACTCTCGATCATGGAAACAGTGTATGGGGTCTGAGTCTCAGGGTTTATACACTTGTCTGGAAAAAAAGAAAATATGTAAATAGCAGACAAATATAAAAAAAAAATTGAATACATGGTAATAGCCAGAAAATATTTCCATCTACATATTTTAACCCGGGTTGTAACTTAGACCAAGTGCTCCTTCATACATATTCCCCTCGGCACATCTTGGCAAATGACATTAACTGAATGACGACTCAAGAGAGTTCATAACATACGCGCCCGACAGGTGGACAGCGCTTCGGATTCGTAGTCCTAAGGTTCCGGGTTCTATTCCCGGTGGAGGCAGAGACAAATGGGCAAAATGTTTCTTTCTACCCTGATGCCCCTGTTACCTAGCAGTAAATAGGTACCTGGGAGTTAGACAGCTGCTACGGGCTGCTTCCTGGGGGTGGACGAGGACCGGGCAGCGGTGACACTAAGGCCCGAAATAATCTAAGATAACCTCAAGATATTACCGGCAATACTGGAGTGTCGCATGCTTTTCATTTATTCTTAATTGCCATGAATACAGTGCCACACCATTATTTAGTGTGCCACTGTATTTATATGGGAAGGGGGGGGGAGGGTGAGCTGCGGCTCTTAGGTCCATGTAGTCCTTTTGCAATGCTAATCAGCATATGTACATTTTAGCATTTTAGTCTGCCTTGCATAGATAGGGTTTGAGATCTGTTACACACAATAGTACAGTGGGTTATCGAGCACACAACCTTCTTGAGGGTGATTTCATTACAGTCATGCTAGAACAGAATGGCAATATTCTTCCCACCAAACAGCCTGGTCGACCAGACTGCCAACCAGGAGGCCTGGTCAGAGACCGGGCCACAAGGACTTTGATCCTCGCAACCAACGCACAATAAGGGGCAAGGTAAAATAAACACCACAATCTGCTGCATTTGCATAATGTATAGTAGGTAAAAGTTGGTATAGTTGGTTTACTGGCATCAAAATTATACCTATCATTATTAACCAACAATTTAAACAAACATGCTCTGTGTAACGGGCCTTGTGATTTTAAATGAGCAGCCACAAGTGTCTAGGAACAGAAGCTTCCCCAGAATGTGTATCATCAATGCAGGTAAACCTGTAGACAGGCGAGTACGAGAGCATCTACTTCTGTATGATATGCATTGAGTATTTAACCCTTACGCTACTCAATCGTTATCGGGAACTTTCTCCTGTGCTCAGATCACAATACGCGAGTGATCCTTATGGAAGATCAATACCTTTATTTTTTTCCCGTGTGCATCGCAATGTAGGACCTTTAAATAGCTTAGTAGTTCAAGGTTTATGGCACAGTTGTGCTGTGTGAGTAAACCAAACTCCAGATTAGTACAATTTAAAATCAAGGTTCTTGCTTCATACACACACTCTTGATCCAGCAATATAATTACAATCCTTCAGTGCAATACACAGTAATTCGTTAGATGACACTTGCGAGAGAATTTATTTTCACTAACGAAGTGTGTGGCCCCGTGTACACTTTTACCAACTAATTACACAGCACTTACCGATACAGTACCTCAAATTTGTTTGAAAATATCCCAGAACAACAAAGTTGTCATAGAAAGCAAAATGCAAGAGGGAGAATCCAGAGGCAAAGCATGTCAGTGCTTTTGTGATTACAAACATAAAATGTGGATATTGATCCAACATGGCACCATCATTGTCAGGTTGTGTACACACTGGTACCACCACGCATATTATATACTAATAACTATTGGCACCTGCATTGACACGTACACACCAGTGGCACTAACAATGTTATGTACACTGAAGTACCAATGTACGTTTAAACAACACGAGTCTGCAATAGACATTATTATTATTATTAATTATTATTATTATTATTATTATTACACAATGAAGTCACATCAATGTGATGTATCAACAAGAAAATCAGTAGGAGCCATCAGGACGATTCAAACTCTTTGGAACCCTCCAAGCAAACACCCTAGATTCTGTGAATGCGTGAAAATCTGATTGGGCTACAGTTGGAAGCCTCAGGACCCCTAGTGAATTCAGTGGAACCCCAAGGTTGCATTGCTTTTAACAATGTCATAGTGAAGTGGTCTAGGGTGTTTTGCTTGCTAGTACCAAGGGAGGGGTTTTGAATCCTCTTCATGGCTTCTATTAATTTTCTCTATTAATTATTAAGAGTAATTCATTAATAGGTAATCTGAACAAGAAATATAGTTAAAAACAAGGAAATACTGTACCTAACAATTAGAAAAATACCTAAAAACAATTACACCTGACTGCCATATGGCAACACCTGTACCGCACTTCACTATCGCTTCCACTACACATAAGGGGCATAACTGGCCGACCCCTCACAGTGTTCAAGAGAGAACTGGATAAGCACCTCCAAAGGATACCTGATCAACCAGGCTGTGACTCGTGCGTCAGGCTGCGAGCAGCCGCGTCCAACAGCCTGGTTGATCAGTCCAACAACCAGGAGGCCTGGTCGACGACCGGGCCGCGGGGACGCTAAGCCCCGGAAGCACCTCAAGGTAACCTCAAGGTAAGGTAAGGCACAGTCCCCACCGGAATAGCAAATACCAAAGACAATGGCCCTCAATAAATACAAGTATACAGGCAATAAATACAGTACAAGGGTAATAAATACATAGCACAAAGACATCATACCTGACACAATTGAAGCAACTTCCTTAAGAGAAGCTTCTTGGTTTGCATGTCGCTCTTTGTCAGACACTTGCAACTCGCCCTTCTCCAAAATCTCGAGACATATCTGAAAAAAAAGGAATATTTCATATACAGATATTCAAATATTAACATACTTTTGGATACATGAAACACAAACCTTTTCTCCAACCAGGCAAGGTAAGGTTAGCTCATTATCAGGAGGGACCCACTAAGCCGGCATCTTTAAATAATGTCTTCACATAGATTTTTTTTTATCATATTCATACCATATTTTAACATCAAAATTTCTAACATGGTGCAACATATACATAATGGGTCCTGTGGAGCAATGGCAAGTGCAATCACGTTACAGCCAAAAGGTCCTGGGTTCATATCCTGCAGCAGGACAAGCATTTGAGCAACATTTCCTCTCAGCCTGGCATTTTTTTTTTATTATTATTTTCTACCACAGACGTGGTCACACATTAACAATGCTAACCAGCATACACACATTTTCTTCTGTCCTCCATGGAAAGGGTTAGAGATTTGTTAAACATATAGTTCAGGGATTTATTGAACAATCAACCACAGAAGATGATTGTAGTGCTTTTAAAATGCTAGGCTAAGCTATATACGTAAATACATAAATACACAGATTTACGTATGCCCTACATTAAGTGCTTGATGTGTCTTTTACACAGTGTCATTAACGTACATTTACAAAGGTGAAATGGAATTCTGATCAGCTTCCACATATACTTTATACACACACACACATATACATACATATAGCAACCCATCCTCCGAATTGACAGTACGATTTAATACTAAGTGTAATAAGTACATTTTCTTACTGTCATAAACAGTGCAGAATTGCACTTATGGGGCTGTTACATTTACCCAACTCCCTCCCCCGATTTAATTCTCCTCATTTTCTGTTAAGACACTCAGAATTTTAGGATGAAGTTTTCAATTTCAAATTGTTATACACAACTTTTAAATATCAGGAATTTTTTTTCAGGTTTATTAAACAATAAAGGTTTTATACAAAATTTTAAAATATCCTGAGTTACTTTACAATTTATTGATATATTTTAGTTTTGTTTTATTAGTTTTATAAAACTGTAATATCAATATAGCTATAGGTTAAGTACTAATTATAATTAAGAAGCAATAAAATTATTATCTTCAAAAACTAAGACGGTTAGATGAGGTTGTGGTTTTCTATTCAGTTTTTCAGGTAAACTCAAATATTCACAATATATCTGACAGTACGATTTAATACTAAGTGAAAATAAGTACAATTCCTAACTGCTATGAATAGTACATAATTACACTTATTTGTCTCCTTACATTTACCACCCCATTTTTGGAGGACGGGCTGCATATACATATATACACACATGCATACACATACATTTGTCTCTTTTACTCTGTCAGGATGAGATAAGCCTGGCAGTAAAAGGTTACCTGTGAGTTAGGAAACTTATGGGTGGCATCCTGAGAAAGATCTGTGGTTGGTCTAGGGAAAGGAGAGGGGAGGAGGGGATGGGGAGACCCTCGATAAGTCAAAACAGGTTTCTGGTCCCCAATTAAGGCAAGTCATAACAAACACGGCGCTAAACTTACATACACAACAGTTGCACTAACCTTTTTCTGATCCTCAGAACTGAAGCACTTGATAAGCTCCTCCTTCTTGGCCACCTGGCCCTTGGACACGTTAGTGAAGACCGTCTCGCTCTGCAGCACTTCATCAATGTCCTTCTCTCTGCAGATTAAGTACAAAGTTAGTGCTTCCTCAGATTTGTTATTATAATTAATTGTCTTGCTCAAATTTCACTGCCTCCATGTCACCTCGACAGTTTAAAATCTAACACAACTCATAAGAATGCAATGTGAGTTGCATTCAATGTATCTGAGATGCAATGTAATGCAATGTATCTGAGAAAATATTGAGACATTACATCCTAGTAGTGCCTGTGCCCGAGATGTCGAGGGATGTGGAATCGATCGTATCACACAGCCTTAATATTTCCTCATTCTAAATCTAGCTTCACTCTCTCCAGCAGAAAATTTGATTACTGGCTAACTGTATACTATCATACCACATACCACAGAATATATGTGGTATGTGCCTACAAGCCATACAAAATGTTGGATTTAGGTTGCCAAATAGACATGCATTATGCAGTTTTACTTGTCCATACTACAATAATTACAACCAGACCTTTCTCGGTTCAGAGAATTCCAGTTCTACCTGCATTTAATTTCTAAATTTATTGCCACTTTTTCTACCTTCAAATGATATAACACATCTTTGCACATTACATAAACAAGAAAATAATGTGTATCCTGCAATATAATGGTCTCCATCCTCTGTTCACAACCGAGTGACCTTGGTTCAACCCCTGGACGGGACAGAAATGTCTAAGCAATTTATTTCCGACTCTCCTTGCCACAATCTGCCTGAGCAAAGTTATGCTGCTAACCCTTACACTGCTCCAATTGCTACCTATTATTACCTCCTGTGCTCATCCTGTACGTCCAAACTGCAACCAACAAATAATGTGAGAGGGGGGAGGAGGAAGTCTACTTTGGTCACTGTATGACTGTTGCTACACATCACAGCCACCGAGGATAATGATCTAATCGCCTCTTAATGGTCTGGCTTGCAGCACACACACCTTGCAACATTTACCCTACAAATTATGTAAAAACAATAAAGAATTTGCAAATGTAAAGAGATCTAGAGATGGTATTACAACAAATCCACAAGGGCCGTGATAAGGGTTCGAACCTACATCCGAGGGGATCGACGTACTGTAGGTTCGAATCCTTATCACTACCCTTGTGGATTTGTTCATTTGATGTATCACGCTATTGTGATTTTTGTGTGTAATGGTATTAGAACGTAAACTGTCACCAGAGGAGCCATGTGATGGACGTAGTATGAGGAACTTGTGCTACCTTGAGCAATTTCAGAATTACAATTAAATTCCAACCCATCCTCCTGTTTAGATAGTACTTTTTGTAACTATGTGAACCATCATACATACAGACATAATGGACAATTATATAGTAGAATTTAGTACTATTCACTTAATAGATTCCAAAAAATAAAGCTTAAAACCAAACTTAAATCTTCCTAGGCATAATATAGCATATACATATACTATATTAGACAGGCGATGAGTCACAATAACATGGCTAAAGTAAGTTGACCAGACCACACACTAGAAGGTGAAGGGACGACGACGTTTCGGTCCGTCCTGGACCATTCTCAAGCCGATTCTTGAGAATGGTCGACTTGAGAATGGTCCAGGACGGACCGAAACGTCGTCGTCCCTTCACCTTCTAGTGTGTGGTCTGGTCAACTTACTATATCAGACCTCAAATAGCATGTATTAGGCCCAGGATGGTTAAGTTAGGTTTCCTTTGCAACGTCGGTACAAAAACTTTTCCGGTTTGTCAACATTCAATACTGTAGTACCGATTTCTACTTTCTCACTGCCTTTTACGTCAATGTACGATTGTTCTCATTACTGTAAGTACTGCACCACCTAAACAGGCTGTTAAAATTCATGGATGCAAAAAATGCTTAAAAACTGTACACAAAATCTATAAAGCCTAAACTTACAGAAGCAGCCATTTTATGGTTACCTTAAAAAAAATACTTACTGTATACTAGAAAAAGTTTAAAGATACATGACTAGCAGGGTGCCAGGATACTTGTCACCCTGACCTGAAGCACAACATCTATGACAGGAGGCAGGCGACATTATATATGCTAAAATTATGACATGACAAAATGAGATGACATGATCCTCCACATGTATCTTGAAGTTACCTCGAGATGATTTCGGGGCTTTAGTGTCCCCGCGGCCCACTCCTCGACCAGGCCTCCATCCCCCAGGAAGCAGCTCGTGACAGCTGACTAACACCTAGGTACCTATTTTACTGCTAGGTAACAGGAGCATAGGGTGAAAGAAACTCTGCCCATTGTTTCTCGCCGGCGCCCGGGATCGAACCCAGGACCACAAGATCACAAGTGCAGCGTGCTGTCCGCTCGGCCGGCCGGCTCCCCTAAATACTTACTAAATACTGTACTGTATAAACTAACAGGAATGTATAAAACTGATAAGGAGAAATTTGTTTAAATTTCTCTATGAGTATTGTCCTTTGTCAGATTTAAATTGAAATTAAATTGCATTCTGAGTGTTCAATGATCCTAAGTACTTATAGAATATATTGGTGGCATATACTGTTGATTATCAGAGTGCAAACTGGAAACTTTATTATGAATAAATTGAGAGCCTTCATAAAATCATAACTAAACCCAAGGAATGGGATTACAGTCCAAGGCAGAAAATGCACTGCACATTTTCCAAGACGGTCCATCCCCAGTTGGGTACAAAAGATACTCTACGCGACTGTACTTTACTTGGGTACTCTACACAAACTTTCTGTAATGCTATATTGTATCCAAACAGCACATTACTCCAGTGTATACATCAGGTCAGGAGGTTTCCATACATACTGTGAATAAAATACATAGATAACACATTTGTTGTTGTTAGCGGGTTAGGGACAGCTACAGCACAAGGCCATATACACCTTGATATTCAAGTGAGCCGGGGAAATAAAAACCTATGCCTGGAGGCTATACGTTGTCTACTGGCAGAAAAACCCGATGCATCCTAAGGTAGATATAGTCTTCCTGGCTTGCCACCTTTTATATTCATAATTACTTAAGGCAGATAAACACACACTTTGTTGGTTGATAATGTTTGCCCAAAATGCTAATGCATGATTTAAAAAAAAAAAAACCCTACCCCATGTATAGCCCAGCGATGTCACTACTATTCATATCCAGCAAAAGTAAGTGAAATATGTATCTTTTATATACTGTGAGGCGTATGACATCACAATGTATTATGGTTGAATCCAAAGCTTTTTTACAGACACTACTGAAACAAGGCTTGCTTAGTGGCCATGTAAAAAAAAAATAATATCTGAATGTGCAAGAAAAGCATTTCACATTAGTGAATGCATATATTTATATATTTTACAAATATACTCTTAACCCATAACTTCTCACTGCTGCCAACAAGCTCTAGACAGCACCTCAAGGTTACGCGAGATCTTTTAATTGCAGCACAAGTGAGAGTACGAGAGAATGCGAGTATGAATGATTACGACTGAAAAATAAAAACGAGATACCATACGAGCATGCGAGTACGAGTGACAGAATATGAGTATGAGTAAGGACGAGTTTGGGAGAATGAGTGTCCTAGTGTACGAGCAAATACCAGTCTCACATTTTCTGGCGCCAGCTCTGCACTTTGTTCTTGTAGCAGGCGATCTCAAACCTCTTGCCGCCCTTCTTCATACGCACCACCGCGATGTTCGTCAACCTGATCTGGTTGGTAGGGGTGAAGATCTTCCCTCCTCCTCCCTTACTCATCCTTCCTCACTAGAGTAACTAGCTCTAAGTGACGCTGTTGGTGTTGTCAGGGAGCTGGAGACGTTCTCAGAGATCTAGAGACAATGTCAGGGCACTTAAGACGATGCTTGGGCACTGGAGACGTTGTCAGGGTACTGGAGACGTTCTCAGAGATCTGGAGACAATGTCAGGGCACTGGAGACAATGTCAGGGCACTTAAGACGATGCTTGGGCACTGGAGACGTTCTCAGGAAGGTGCAGACGTTGACAGGACACTGGAGACGATACAAGGACACAGAAGACGTTGTCAGGGTGCTATAGGTGTTGGCAAGAATCTGGAGGTGTTGTCAGTGACTTGAAAGTGTTGTCAGGAGACTGGAGGTGTCGTCAGGTGAGGATATGTTGTCAGGACGCGGGGAGAGACAAGTCTAGCGGGTGACAACACGGTTGACAGTGTTGCCATAACCGCATTGCTGAAAGTAGTGAGCTGACGGTCTAAAAGTAGCGACATTTGTAATTAAAGTAGCCCAATATTTTATTCAGTAGCTGATATGGTTTTCAGAGCAATATCAAAATCAAAAATCAAAAATCAAAATGTTTATTTAGGTAAGGTACATACATAAAAGAGATTTTACAAAGAGTGATGGATTTATAGTTAGGGCTAGTACATGCAATGCCTAAAGCCACTATTACGCAAAGCGTTTCGGGCATGATAAACTTAAATGACAAGCTTAATACTAATTGAGCATAATGAGTAGAATGAAAACAAGAAATGAAAACATAGATGAAAAAGCAGCACAAATACAATTCTGTCGACAAACAGCGCTCTTTAAAAAAAAGACATTGGATGACATTAGAGGGAGGGGTAAGGTAGGTTACAGGGAATTTATTAGGTATAGCTTCGTTTTTATCTTAACTGGTTGAGAGAGGTACAGTATTTTATATTTTATATATATATATTTTAGGTAGGTATATATTTTAATACATAGAGTAATACTGCAAGATTGTATTAATATTAATACTGCCCGAAACGCTTTGCGTAATAGTGGCTTTAGGCATTGTATGTACTAGCTCTATCTATAAAGCCAACAAACTTTGTAAAATCTCTTTATGTATGTACCTTTGCCTAAATAAAAATTATTATTATTATTATTATTATTATCACTGCATGTACATAAAAAAGTGATATTTGGATAACATAAATATTTGATACATTAGGTATAATTTACCTGGGTAAATTATGTTTCATGCAGCAAATATTGATAAGTTATCCAATTATCACGTTTTTTATTATATTTTTTTTATCATAAGTCGATGCTGGAAGGTAATATCGTCTGATGCGTGAGAACAGACCAAATACAAGGAAGCAGTCTCCATTGAAATTGAAATTGAAATAAGTTTATTGAGGTAAATACACACAAAGGGATGAGGTAGCTCAAGCTATTCTCACCCCATTCAGTACATCGTGTTAATATATACATAGACACACATCACAAATAAACATTCTGAGAGGTAAACATATACATTTCCTCCTTCACAAGTAGTATGGTATCAGACGTACACACAAATAACTTCGCTGATCGGACGGCAGTCTCCATGGTGTAGTGGTAATTAAGACACTCGCCTGGCGTTTCGCAAGCTCTTTGTCATGGGTTCGTATCCAAGTATCAATAGATGATACTGGAGATCTGTGGAGGTGCGACTGCACCCTGCGTGACGGGAGATGTCTCCCGTCTCGTCGGCTATTCACTTTATGCTTATATTCGGTGACTACACCTCAGCTTCCTCCAACAGGATGGAAAGAACTGTTACCTGTAATTAGGGAAAGGATTTGAGTAGTCATAATTAGTGCTAATTAGTTTGTCATTAAGGTAAGGAGAGATTGGAGCGAGTATAAGGTTTACTCGCTACAATGTAAGTGCAAGACGCTTCCTCAAATCAACTCTAATATAACCAAAATAATCTTTGAGGTGTTAATACAAGGCTTTAGAGGTAGCCCTTGTGACTACAGCCCCATAAACTGAGATAGAATCCTACTATGTTTAGATTTATAATATTGAGCACAGACACACAAATATGTTTAATTCGCAATATCTGTCTACTCATCTATAATGTCATTTATAATGTCATCTGTCTCATCTGTCTATACTCATCTATGGCTTTGCCTGCATCTCAAATTGCAAATTGTTACTTACAGTGTACTTGAGAGTACTTGTAAGCAATCTACCTCATTTTTCATTTTTGCTCAATTTGTTTTTGTATTGCTTAGTCTTGTTTATAGTTTTGTTTTGTATTTCTATATCTTGTGTTTTGTATAGTCCATGTTTATATGTTTTTTCTTTAATCTCATTTATTACCTAGGTTGCCTAGCCTAGCCATACTCCCTTACTCCATTGTACCCCTGTAAGCCCCTTTTGTGGTTGTTTGGTACAGTATTGTGTACATTTTTTTTCCCTATTTTATAGCTTATTTCTACCTTGTAATTTGCCTTTCTTTCCTTGTTTTCCTGCAATCAGCTTTTTTTATGCAGACAAGTATAGACCCTGAACTTAACCTCTTATCCACTATCTATGACAATTATCACTTTAATGATCTAAATTGCAGATATTTTGCAGCACATGATGTAAACAATGTATTAACTCATAATCACAATATCTCTGTAATCAATTTGAACGTTAGATCCCTAGGTAAACACTTCGATGATGTTAGTGCCTTGATTGAAGCTATTGACAACAAATTCTCTTTTATTATACTTACTGAAACATGGTTGAAAGAGGATACTACTCAACTCTTTAACATGCCTAACTACTCAGCAATTCACAACTGTCGTCAACTTCAGAGAGGTGGTGGCACTGCTCTTTACTACCACCAAGAACTAACATGCTTAAAAGAAATTAGAACAAGAGACTGCTATGGGGAGTATATCTTCGCCAGCTTCAGAGTCAAGGGTGCCGAGTCTGTCCTGTCTGTGGGTGCAGTTTATAGAATTCCTAACACTGATGTGTCCGAATTCAACTCAAACCTTAGAAATCTAATACTTGATAACAGACTGAACAAAAACCACCTAATTATCGCTGGGGACTTTAATATTGACCTCTGCGAGCCAGAACACCCTACTGCTGTTAGCTTCCTCAACTGTATGAACTCCTGCTTCCTCATACCCTTAATCACTAGACCTACTAGAATCACTGATAGCACTGCCACGACTCTAGATCACATCTGGACAAACATAACCTCTCCGCTTACTTCAGGTATAATCACCGATAGCACTACAGACCATTACCCCACATTTCTCTTAACTAACATTAGCAAACCACCTCTTGAGTCAAGAGAGATACGTTTTAGACTACACAATGAAACTGCTATAGACAATTTTATAACTGCTGCTGATAATGTCAACTGGGAGTCCGAGTTAGGTAACATAGAGGACATCAACCTAGCAGTTCAATCTTTTCTTCAAAAAACTCTCAGCCTTTATAATACCCACTGTCCTATGCTTACAAAACAAGTCACAACCAAAAGGCTTAACAATCCCTGGCTTACAAAGGGAATACTTAAATCTATTAATAAAAGACATGACCTTGAGAAGAAGTATAGGTTAGGAATTGTCTCCAAAGAATTCTCAAAGAATTACTCATTATTGCTATCTAAGATAATTAGACGAGCCAAAACTAAATACTACGAAGATAAATTTACCCAAATAAAGAGCAACATTAAACAAACTTGGAGAACAATTTCACAAATATTGGGATCAAAGAAGTCTATAAATAACAAACCGACTCTCCTGTCTAATAACGATGGTCAGCTTTCAGCCTCCGATTCTGCTATTGAGTTCAATAGGTTCTTCTCTTCCATTGGTTCATCCCTTGCAAATGATATTCCATCTTCCAGTACAGACATTAATGACTATCTTTCAGGTAACTATCCACAGTCTCTGTACCTAAAGTCTATTAATTCCACTGACGTCAATGAGATAATCCTTTCCCTTAAAACCAAGTCTAGTGCCCTTGAGGAGATACTAACTTTAATCTACAAAAAAGCCTCCAGATCTTTAGCCCCTGCTATTGCTTTGCTCTTCAACAAGTCACTTGAACTCCAAACCTTTCCAGATATTCTAAAAAAAGCGAGAGTAACGCCTGTCCACAAATGTGGTGACCCCACAGATGTTAACAACTACAGACCTATATCAATCCTGCCAAACTTGTCAAAAATTTTTGAAAAACTAATCTATAAGCAGCTTTACTCATATCTAGCCAAACTCAATATACTTAGCCCTTGCCAATATGGCTTCAGGCCCAAAAAAAGCACTAACGATGCACTTATTAGTATGCTTAACTCGATTCATACAGCTCTTGATAAAAATGAGTTCCCTGTTGGGTTATTTGTGGACCTGCGTAAAGCTTTTGATATTGTCAACCACCAAAACCTTCTTCTTAAATTACATCATTATGGAGTCAGAGGACACTCCCTACAATACCTCAAATCCTACCTTACTGACAGGCTCCAATTTGTTTATGTGAATAATACAATTTCTCCCACCCTACCCATCAACATTGGTGTTCCTCAGGGCAGCATACTTGGCCCTCTCCTCTTTCTCATCTACATTAATGACCTTCCAAATGCCTCCCAACACCTCAAACCAATTCTATTTGCTGACGACACAACCTTCATTTACTCCAGTCCTGACCCCCTTGCTCTAAATGCCACAGTAAATACTGAGCTAAATAAAGTCCATCTTCGGCTAACTGCCAACAAACTCACCCTTAACATTGACAAAACTTTCTATATTCTGTTTGGCAATAAATCCTCTAATCAAATAAATCTCAAAATAAACAATACCCAAATTTGTAACAAATTAGATGGCAAATTCCTTGGCGTTCTCATTGACCACAAGCTGAATTTCCAGGGACACATTCTAAACATATCAAAAAAAGTTTCAAAAACTGTGGGCATTCTTTCTAAGATCAGATATTATGTACCACGCCCAGCCCTGGTGACTCTCTATTACTCCCTTATCTATCCATATCTCAACTATGGTATTTGTGCTTGGGGCTCTACTACCCAAAATCACTTACGTCCTCTAATTACTCAACACAAAGCTGCTATTAGGACAATATCCAACTCTGGCCCCAGACATCACTCGGTACCCCTACTTAAATCTCTGAATATGTTAGACATTAAGTCACTGCACATTCTCTCATGTGTATTATACATATACAAAACGCTAAACTATAATGCCAATCCTGATCTCAAAAGCTTCATAGAAGGTTGTAACAGAACCCATGAGCACCACACCAGAAATAAAAACAGTTTTGATATTCCTAGAGTACGACTTAATCAAACTAGAAATGCTCTACAAATCAAGGGGCCCAGAACGTGGAATGACCTTCCCAACCATGTTAAAGACTGTACCTCTCTCAACCAGTTTAAGTTAAAAGCGAAGCTATACCTAATAAATTCCCTGTAACCTACCTTACCCTTCTATTGTCAACCAATGTCTGTTTTTCTTTAAAGAGCGCTGTTTGTCGACATAATTGTATTTGTGCTGCTTTTTCATCTATGTTTTCATTTCTTGTTTTCATTCTACTCCTTATGCTCAATTAGTATTAAGCTTGTCATTTAAGTTTATCATGCCCGAAACGCTTTGCGTAATAGTGGCTTTAGGCATTGTATGTACTAGCTCTACCTATAAGTCAACCAATCTTTGTAAAAATTTATTGTATGTATGTACCTTACCTAAATAAACATTTTATTTTATTTTATTTTATAAGTGGCTTACTGGTGGGCCATCACTACATATTGGTACTTTCCACCAAATAGTTAAGTGCTATCATTTCATGAGGATTTACACATATTACATTATAAATGCATAAATAATGTCACTGACTATCTTAACATTGGTAGCCCAAACCAGCCCAAATGATTTTTAAATTAGCCCAGAAAGTCGCAAGTAGCGAAAATACAAAATTTTGGAGCACAGAGTTGTCGAAAGTAGCCAAATTCGCTACTTCTGGCAACACTGAACATGGACCTCCTGCCTGACCTCGTGCCCCTGCCAACTACATAATTAGTCTCCTAATATTTAGAATGCCTTCATGTACAAAATTACTTGCCTATGCCTTTTTGTATAGTATATTTATTTATTTTTTAATGATGCTTGCTTTTTTATACATTTTGTAACATTTAATGTGTCATATTTCAAGATTCTTTGACTGGAAAGCAAAAATAGTAGAATTCAGGCTCCAACCTTCTCCCCTAGGGAGTGTGTGAACGCGGCCAAGAAGGCCATAGCAACAATATTAGTCATGCATTCATATTGTATTTTTAATTATTTCCTGAAATACATTCATAAATATAGTGTAGAAGTGGTATACTGTGGACAAAAACAAATTATTCACCTGTATAACTACGCCACTTAAAAAGAACTTTGAAATTCTAAATGTTGGAATGCTTTTAAGTAAAGTAAATATTTTGTATGTTTTTAAAATTTAGTATCACATCAAATACCATAAAATATATAAATTATATTTACTAGTTATATAAATTATGTATGGTAAATTTTAATGCAATTTAATGAAATATTTCACTACAAATATATATTGCAAAAGGACGTCATCGGCGGCCACAACATGCGCTCGCTTACGAGAACGTCAACTCAGGCGGCGGCGGCGGCGATCATCCGCAACACCTGACTCCTCTTGCATCAGGTAATGCAATGTTAATGTTGCACCAGGTGTTGCAGTCCTCGCCCCGATGATTACCGCGTGTTTAAGATATATTCAGTTACTGGGAAGAGTAATGTAATATTGATGACATGACGCCAGTGACAGTTTTGTCTCTCCTTTGATCAGGTCAAAGGCAGACATGCCGAGTATTTTATTTATTCTTTAGTCATTTTTAGTAAGACTAATTATGAAGAATTAATGGTTTACCTTGGTAAATTGGATCATTATTCAAATTTTATTCAATAAGCAGATTCCTCGACACAGATTCACTCAATCAAAAACACAGCTGGTGTTCCTGGTGGCTGAGTGGACAGCGCTCAGTGTTCGTAGTCCTAGGGACTGGGGATCAATCCCCGGCTATGGCAAAACCAAATGGGCAGTTTCCTTCATCCTGATGCCCCTGTTTATCTAGCAGTAAATAGGTACCTGGGAGTTAGACAGCTGCTGTGCTGCTTCCTTGGGGGTGGGGAGGGGGGGGGGGGGTGGAGAGAGAGCCACAGCTCAATCCCTGCATGCACAACGAGGTGATTATACCACTTCCAGTAGTCTTGACACGTCCACTTAGGGACATCTGGACAACTTGACACCATTCTGACCATTGGGTCTCGATACTGTTGTCAGGTATTTATTTCAATGGTCTACATTTATATGATGCCTGACGCACTTATTACTTAGGATCACAGGGAAGTTGGAAAAATTTTCCTTGTTGGATCTTCAGGCAGGTTGATGGTGTCCGGCGCTGGCAGGGCCAAGAGGTGCCCAGAGTCTGAGAGCCTTGGTAGGCACCTGGTACGCTCGAGGAGCATTATGCAATTTTGATTCTTGCTCCACTGGAGGTCACTGTATGACATTATAGCAATATTGCCAAATTGTGTTTAAGTTTAAAAATGGTGATCACCATTCAAATTCAAACATTTATTCAGGTAAAAGTACATACATAGAAGATGAGTTACAGACATGTTGGATTTATAGAGCTAGTACATACAATGCCTAAAGCCACTAATAAAATTCTTCAGATTCCGATTCTTCCACTTGACTACAATTCTTTTTTCTTTTTGGCGGTGGGGGGGGGGAAGAAGGAGAAGTTAGTTACCAGGATTCTTGATGCAGAGGGATTAAGGATTGGTCTAACCTCTCCAGGGGATACCACAAGTCACCAAGCATTGGTCTAACCTCTCCAGGGGATATCACAAGTCACCAAGCATTGGTCTAACCTCTCCAGGGGATATCACAAGTCACCAAGCATTGGTCTAACCTCTCCAGGGGATATCACAAGTCACCAAGCATTGGTCTAACCTCTCCAGGGGATACCACAAGTCACCAAGCATTAGTCTAACCTCTCCAGGGGATACCACAAGTCACCAAGCATTGGTCTAACCTCTCCTGGGGATACCACAAGTCATCAAGCATTGGTCTAACCTCTCCAGGGGATACCACAAGTCACCAAGCATTGGTCTAACCTCTCCAGGGGATACCACAAGTCACCAAGCATTGGTCTAACCTCTCCAGGGGATACCACAAGTCACCAAGCATTGGTCTGATAGTGTCTTGTTAGTTGATTTAAGGGATCTAACCACTTGGGCTGGACGGTAGAGCGACGGTCTCGCGTCATGCAGGCCGGTGTTCAATCCCCTACTGTGTCCAAGTGGCTGGGCACCATTCCTTCTGCCCCCTCCCCATCCCAAATTCTTATCCTGATACCTTCCAAGTGCTATATAGTCGAAATGGCTTGGCATTTTCTGTTGATAAATAGTTGATTTAAGGATGACAAAATTAGATGTATGCACCCCTGTCGATCTTTGCAAAAGAGCACAGTAGTTGTCTGTTAACAGATGATGTGCATATTGCTGCAAGCTTTTATATTTAAGCCAACAGGGAGACATCTGGCACATTTTGCCATCATTGCCCCTAAATAAACAACAATCATGAACCTCTTTAAACTGAACCTCTTTGAACTGAGGGAACTGAACCTCTTTGAACTGAGGGAACTGAACCTCTTTGAACTGAGGGAACTGAACCTCTTTAAACTGAGGGAACTGAACCTCTTTGAACTGAGGGAACTGAACCTCTTTGAACTGAGGGAACTGAACCTCTTTGAACTGAGGGAACTGAACCTCTTTAAACTGAGGGAACTGAACCTCTTTGAACTGAGGGAACTGAACCTCTTTGAACTGAGGGAACTGAACCTCTTTGAACTGAGGGAACTGAACCTCTTTGAACTGAAGGAACTGACCCTTTTTGCACGGGAGGAGAGAAGGAACACACTCGACCCTGTGTGCACATTCTTAACCATGCGTGCACCTCCTCGACCCTCTTTGTACCTCTTCGACCCTCTTTGTACCTCTTCGACCCTCTTTGTACCTCTTCGACCCTCTTTGTACCTCTTCGACCCTCTTTGTACCTCTTCGACCCTCTTTGTACCTCTTCGACCCTCTTTGTACCTCTTCGACCCTGCACACCTGCTGTAGACAAGCGGATAAGACGACGTGAATACAGTACTGTATTTACATATCACATTTTACCTCTATATTAAATTTACTAGTTTCTGTTAGTAATACAGTACTGTATAAAATTTTCAGTCCTTTAATTTTTATGTGTACAGTACAGTAATGTTGTTATTTACAGGTCAAATAATAAATGTTACCATAATTTGATGAAAGTAATGGCAGGCAAACTGTACTGAACTCTAATATTTCCAGAATATTTATGTGCTATACCTGGATGCCTCCCCATCGTGCATTCTGAACAGTAACAGAATACTCTGTACGTACTGTACAGTACTGTATTGTACTTAAAACTGCACCTTTAGGTTTTCGTAAAGAGTCCTGGAATAGGGTATACTGTACTTTCAGATTTGTGCATCATGGCTGGGGCCGTAGCCACCACCATATCTGGAGCAGCTACAGCAACTGCAGCAGCCATCGGCAGTAGCAGCAGCAGCTCCAGCCCAGCCCTGACCTTCCGCGTATTGGCCGAATGCAGCAAGTCTAAAGCCCGGACAAGTCTAATGAAGTTGCCACATTATACAGTCGAGCTGCCAATGTTTATGCCAGTCGGGACCCAGGTAACTCCTGTGTGTTTTTCATCATTATTTCATTTATTTCCGTCACCAATTTCCCTATATGTCATTGGCTTTATATTCATAATCGGTATAAAATACTGTACTAAGTATGGTACAATTATAGGTCCTGTAGTACAGAACAGTGGTCTACATTCTTTACTCACAATCAAGGATCCCAGGTTCAATTCTCAGGAAGGACAGAAATGGTTGGGCATGCTTTCTTTTACCTAATACCCCTCCTGCACCTAGTAGTAAGTAGGTACTGTATCTGGGAGTTTGGTAGCTGTTGTATATTACATCCTGGGAAAAGGTCAGTGGTACGTCATTGGGGTCAGGGGGGTCTCGTTGAGCTTAAGTACAGGCTTCGTGTCCCCGACAATTGGATTTGTCGGGGATTGAATTTATTGGATTCCCGACAATTGGATTTATTAGCAGAATTGGTTTAAAAAACAATTTTAACAAAATAAATTAAATTAATACAGTTCTTTAAATTGTTTCTTTATTAACAAAATAGTTGAGTATATTTGCTAGATATGAGTACAGTTCAGTAAATATAAAGTAACTTCAGTACAGTGGAACCTCTATTAACGAGTTTAATCCGTTCTGGCACCGAGCTCGTTACCTGGAAAACTCGTCTTTGGAAACAAATTTCCCCATTTAAAATAAAGGAAATAAATTTAATCCGTTCCACTCCCAAAAACATCCATACTTGTATGACTTTTTTTTATGTAAATATAATACTGCACATGTAAATATAAATGTTTTGTTGTAGTGTTTTAATATTTACTTTACCTTATGAAGAGTAGTTGCTGGCTTCAGGGAGACAATGGAGAGGTGGGAAGGAGGAGAGGGGTTATGGTGTGGAAGGAGAATCCACCTCTGAGTCAGGCGGACTCTCTCTTCTTGGGAATTTCACCCAAATTTCATTTCATATGTCACACAAGGATGCGTTAGACCAGCCCCAAATAAAAAACTATGTTGATTACACTCGTTGTGTCAACAATATAATAGTCTTACCCCGAAGATACAATACAATGCTGTTTTCTCAAATAGGCAATGTGGTTATTAAAGAAAACGGAAATTTCATGGCAAACTTGTATACAATCCCCAAGTCAATCGGATAAGAATTGGATTTTATAGAAATATTTGCTCAAATGACGCTTGAGCGCGGTGTTTGGGAACGTTCAAGAGAAAAAAAGTGTGTTATGTTCAAGCGACATATACCTGCGAAAGTGATAACACTTTCATAAAGTGTTATCACAAAGTGATAAATTAATTAAACATTTTCACACACCGGGTTGTCATTGCTTTATCAGGGCAGCTTTTCCAAGAATGCGTTCACCTTTTCAAACATTCCAAACACTTCCCTGATCTCAGTTTAAGAGGCAGCATCCTCCCTTACCTCCTCATTCCCTTACTAATGGTGTAAATTGTTGATGAGGACCTGCCATACTTCCTTGTGAGATCAATCACACAGACACCACACTCATGCTTTGCTATAATTTCCTTCTTTAAATCCACAGTAATTGTGTCTTTCTTCCTCTTGACAACACTATCTTTAGCAAGCAGCTTCTTTGGAGACATCGTTTGTTACAAATTGTAGTCGCAAAACCACTAAAAACCCAAAGAAAAGCTCAAATAAATCCAGAGGGATGCTTGTTGTGTGAGATACAACAACAACACTGGCGTCGGAGGCGTCCGAGAATTTGCGAGAACCCGCGAGACGCTAGGAAGCGCCATGTGGTTTCACTCGTTAATAGAGGCGAGCTCGTCAATAGAGACAAATTTGCTGCGAGTGGCTTGCTCGTTACTGGAAAAACTCGTTAATAGAGCCACTCGTTAATAGAGGTTCCACTGTACTGCATAAATTGGGGTATACTGTACAGCACTGTATGTATTTTGTGATACATTCAGTTAACTGTAGACAATATACAGTCATGAAGTTAATTACACCATGGCATGGTGTAATACTGGAGTGAACGATATGGTGGAGAACACGGAGAACATGATATAATATGGAGTGAACATGGCATGGTGTAATACTGGAGTGAACATACTGGAGTGAACGATATGGAAGAAGATGCAGAATAGAACCAGTGAAGAGCAGAGGTGCCATAGGCACAATCAGAGAACACTGTATAAACATCAGAGGTCCACGGCTGTTCAATGTCCTCCCAGCGACTATAAGAAATATTGCCGGAACAACCGTGGACATCTTCAAGAGAAAACTAGACTGTTTTCTAAAAAACGTGCCAGACCAACTGGTCTGTGGTGGGTATGTGGGCCTGCGGGCCGCTCCAAGCAACAGCCTAGTGGACCAAACTCTCACAAGTCAAGCCTGGCCTCAGGCTGGGCTTGGGGAGTAGAAGAACTCCCAGAACCCCATCAAGCAGGTATCATGGGTGTATTTTGTTACATATTAATTTTAAAGGGTCCTGGTAGTACAGTAGGTTCATTCTCGATTCACAGTCGAGAATTCCGGGATTGAATCCTGGGCGGGACAGAACTGATTGGGTGCATTTTCTATCACTTAATGCCCCCGGTACCCAGCAGTTAGTCAACTGTTGTGGGGGTTGCATCCTGGGGAGGGTCAGTAGTTCAACCATGGAGGGGGGACCTTGATATAAATCTAATGTATACTGTATATATACACACATGATGCCTGTCCCCGACAAAACAAATTATTTTGGGTAATCAACATGTACATTTCATCCTATACACAAGAAATATTATTCAAGACGTACATACAAATACGTAACATTTTTGGTATGAAGCAAAGTTAGTTATTCCATATTCTCAATGTAAGGTATTGTATTTTAAGCTCCAGTATTACATTTCAATTGCTATGGAACCCACTGTAAATATATATCTGGTTAAACTTAATCTACTGTTGTGTTCAAATAAATATTTGAATAAGAAATTCTGGAGAGTAACAAGAGACATGATCAAATGCCCCGCATTGCCACAGTAGTTAAGTACGTGACGGGTCGGCTCCCATGATGCCTCATAATTTCTAAGAATTAACCAGCAACTTATCATATTTGACGGCAGATAGTTTTGATTCATGGTTTTGGTCCATCTCCAACCGAATCTGTATACTGTACATTGTTGAATTTACATGCACAAAATTCTGATTTCTACAAAACTACTGGGAAATCACTTTCATCATGTGTATAAAGAAACGTAACAAAAAACTTTAAAAAAGCATTATACAAAATAACCTCGTAATTAGTTGTCTTATATGGGGGCAAATACAGTAGTTTAACTGGTATGCCTTAGTGTTCTTTATCACGTACGATAAATGCACTTTCGATGCTTGGGAATAGGTAGCTTGGGAACAGGTAGCTTGGGAACAGGTAGCTTGGGAACAGGTAGGTTTATCAAGGTTTCCCAGAGGCAAAAAGTTGATACTGTATTTTACTTGGATGCAACCCGCAACAGTTGCCTGACTTCCAGGTACTGTATAAGTATTTATTGCAGGTTAGCAGAGGTATCAGGTGCAAGGAGACTTGTCCAAACATCTTGTCCTGAGTGGGTATTGAGCCCAGTACTATTGGGTTGTGTACCAACTCTCTGACTACGTTGCTACGGTACAATTTCTTTAGCACGGATTTATGAAATCTGTATATTTTATGCTTTTAGCTGACTGAAGATTAATGAACAGTATTTGAGATGATTAAGAATGTTTGTTTTAATAAAAGCTTTATTAAAACACTTAATTTCAATTAGAATGTAATTTAGATTAAACTTTTTTCCCTCATTTTCAGGGTACAATGAAAGGTCTGTTGCCAGAGCAAGTGAAGGATACCAAAGCTCAGATCATCCTGGGAAACACATACCACCTAGGATCCCGCCCGGTATGTTTAATGTCGAGTAGAGTTTTGTCCTATTTAAAATGTGAACAATTTCATCTTCGTTTTCTGGGAGGGAGCTCTTGGTAACTCCGCAAACTTAGCTGTGGTATCACCGGTCTTCTGAGATCCATCTGTTACCAACAGGGAGGAGAGCAGAGGATCAGAGATGAACCATAAAACTTGGGAAAACCCATTGGAGAGCATAGGTATGACAAAACAAATGAATGCTTGAAGAAAATTTTATATTAGGCAAACAAGGCAAATGATTATTGCTGCAGGGTAAATGTTCCCTGATGCACCTGATCGTCGCCACATTTTAGCTTCCCTGAAGTCTTGGCCCACATCCCTCCCGGCTCTTCTGCCTGGTGTAGCTCATTCAACACTGGTAGCCTCGCCTGGTCTCGTCACTGGCTTCTTGCTTTCAGCTAAGTCATGTTGGATTCCCTGGAACATTATATTCCACTGAAGCCTTTGCTTTATTTGTCACAATTGGGATTATACTACCAACAATGTTGTGCTCAAATTTCGTTTAAAACGGACTGTGGTCGGCTTGCATTTCTCTATGTAAAGTGTCACCAGAGATTCCTGCTTTGAGGGTTTGTGGGCTCTTTCCTCTCAAACTATCTCTACTAGAGTTACTTTTGGCCAGTACATGAGATATATTCTCCCGTGTTGAGCCTGGTGATTGGGAGGAGTCTTTGGTCACATTAGAAGCAGATGCACTTGAAAAAAATAATATCAAGCCTTTAAAACTGCATTTCTACATGTCTATAATACTGGCCCTGCTCCTGAAGGGGTTAAGGACTGGCTTTGGCCATGCACATGACTTGTGATACATGACTTAAATTAGAATGTAATTTAAGGTATATGACTGCATACACCTTCTCTTGTTGAGTGGTCAAGGTTATCTTGAGATGATTTTGGGGCTTAGCATCCCCGTGGCCTGGTCCTCCTTTTTGTTATACACCCCTAGGAAGCAGCCTGTAGCAGCTGTCTAACTCTCAGGTAATTATTTACTGCTAGGTGAACAGGGGCATCAGCGTGAAAGAAACTGCCCATTTGTTTCCGTCTCCGTCGGGGATCGAACCCAGAACCTTAGGACTATGAATTCCGAGTGCTATCCACTCAGCCGTCAGCTGGGTGCGGTGTCTGTTTCCCAAGATACTTGCCTTTCGCCTGGCACCCCTGTCTGGGAGTGTGGTAGTCTGGGTAGTAGATGTCTCTTGTTCCTGGGGGGGGGGGGGGCGTTCTTTGTGTAATCAGCCAGGATGTTATGGCTTCCCCATCTGATTCCGTATCTGATGCTGTAGTCTGTAGTATCCCGGAATGTTCTTTAGTGTTCTCAGTCCCCAGTTGGCAATTCCTGTTTCCTTCCTGAGGTCTGCTAAGTACTAGTCTTTTCCTTGCGGATGCATGCTGTGGGTCTGCACTGGATTTCAGTTCTGACCGAGTCATTGCCTTGGGCTGAGGTTGTCCTAAATTTGCTTTACTACACCATGTAGGCTTTTCCAACCCATGTCTGTAGCCAGTGGTGCAGATGATTCATGATTCCCTGTTATTCTTTGAGGAGGTTTACAGGCATCTGGTCTTCAATATCTGTGCCCTGTTTCATGTGCTTCCTGGTTGATACCTGGTTGATGGGGTTCTGGGAGTCCTTCTACTCCCCAAGCCCGGCCCGAGGCCAGACTTGACTTGTGAGAGTTTGGTCCACCAGGCTGTTGCTTGGAGCGGCCCGCAGGCCCACATACCCACCACAGCCCGGTTGGTCCAGCACTCCTTGAAGGAAACTATCTAGTTTCCTCTTGAAGATTGTTTCCTCTTCCTGTTCCACTTCTGCCAGCAGAGGTGGCTAGTTCACTTGGCATCTTGCTCTCCTTTGCTGATTCGGGCTTCTGAACTGTGTTGAGCTGTGAGGTTGCTGGTGCCACTCATTTCTCATTTGCCATTTGCTAGTTCATCTATCTGACGCTCCTTTATATTTTATTATAACATGCTTCCCTCACGACTCGTCAGCGTTCAATCCCCGACCGTCCAAGTGGTTGGGCACCATTCCTTTCCCCCGTCCCATACCAAATCTTTATCCTTACCTTTCCAAGTGCTATATAGTTGTAATAGCTTGGCACTTTCCCCCTGATAGTTCCCTTCCCCTCATGACTCGTGTGCATATTTGTGTTCCTTTGTTTCCTGTCCTCGTGTTTGTTTGTGTTTACATTGCGTTTCTTGCATCTTCCCTGTACTTCAGTTGGACTTCTAATTGTATTCAGTTGATGTCTCTCATTGACTTTTTTGGGGGGGAAGGGGTAGATCAATTGACTTTTCTTTGGCAAAGGAGTGATGTGTTCTTGCCTCATTTTCCCTCTGTATTGCGCAGTCTTTGATCTCCAACTGAGGTCTGTTATGCATCCTGCCCTGTGGCTGCTGTTCTGTATCTTTGCACACTTCTCACCTTGTTGGGGCGAGAAGTGTTCAAAAATGTGTCATCCCCATTTCTCTTGTCCCTCAAGGTCCTCTTTTTAGTTTGGTCCAGCCAGCCTGCTATTTGTCCCAAGTTTAATGATATACAGATGTTTGCTGCTTTGCCAGGTATCTTAGCTGTTTTGTCAACAGCTGATATTTGAGCTCAGTGGTTCTGAAAGTCCTTTTGTTGTTGGCCTCTTCCTTGTTGGACATCCTTCAGTCTTGCTTCTTTGTGCTTTGGTTTTTGTCACGCCATTCTATATTCTAAGACTTGCTTTTTCCTTCTGTTCGTCTTCCACAGGTCAGCTCAGTCCGCCTTTTCTGTTTTTTCAGCAAAGCTTGCCTTGGGAGCTACTAAGGGGTTTCTTCCAGAAATTAAGTGTTTATTGTAATAAACTGCACTTTACTGGTGGGCCCACCAATAGTTCCATGTTCTCATTCTGTTCCCTTTTTTTTCATGTGGGGCTTTGTACAGGCAGCTCCTAAGTGATGGAGCAGGCTGGATGAGATCCCAGGTTATCGGTGCCATTTGTATTGTGCATCCCTGTTAGGGTGGTGACGTTTGTCCTTCGGGGTCGAAGATGACCATGACTTCAGTATCAGGTTGAAGATCGGTGGCTGTGTCAGAAGATGGACGATGAGACCAATCTGGGTCCAGAAGGTTCACCCACACATGAGACATGTGAGTGGGTACTGTTGTAGTGGCAGAGGTTGCTCTAGCTTTGCACACAGCACGTTTCCTTTGGGTCTCTGCAGTCTGCCTGTTCTCTGCTGCACAGGCCCCTATGATGACTTTACATTGCCAAGTTTGGCAGTCCTGAAGTGACTCCCAAGTACTGGAGTTGATGTCCAGGTCTCTGAGGGTCATCTTGAGGCAGTCCTTGAATCATTTCTGCTGCCTCCCAACTGAATGTGTGCCCTAACTTAATTCTCCACACAGCAGCTGTTTTGACAATTGGTTGTCAGTCATTTTGACAACATGGCCTGCCCATCTGGTCTGTTAGGGGTATTAACCTAAGGGTGCCCAATGTCCTTCACTCAAGTGATTTGCCTTGTTTCATTTGTGGTTTCTGGTGGGTTTTGCCTAGGTTTGCGGTTGACCTTTGATACCCTGTTCCTCTCACATTGTTGAATAATCCAGGCACTTGCCCTTGATCATGATAAGTGATGCTTGGGTCTCCAAGGCCTGGTGTGTTGGACTAAGGTATTGCCAGACCAATGTTTGGAAAGCTACTGGGGTCCAGCAGGAAACAGAGTTTCATTACATTTGCCTCTGTATGTTTTGTGATTATTGTGATCCAATTGCCAAATGCTGTATACATAATAATTTGGTAGTGTTTTTGAGTGTTAACTATTAATCATTATTTCACAGATTTATGCTTGAGAATTTATGTGGAATGTGACTGAAGACATACACATTCAAGATACTAGAATTATTCTGTGTTCCAGACTAAAATTTGTGAATGTTTTACAGGGAAAGGATCTTCTGCAGGATTTTGGGGGTCTTCATAAGTTCATGCAGTGGGACCGAGCTCTCTTGACAGACTCGGGAGGCTTCCAGATGGTGTCTCTCTTAGAGTTGGCGGAAATTACGGAAGAAGGGGTGAAGTTTAAGTCTCCTTATGATGGTTAGATTTTAGTATTTAATATTATTACCTCGTAGTGAAACTATTGATTTTTTTATATAATTGTATTTGTGAAAATTTCAAACGAAATTTAATATTAATGCAAATACAGTACTGTATTAACCTGCAACATTGAGGCTTTCAAAAATGGTGTTGACGGAAGTGAAATAGAACTAAAAACAAATCTCGGAACAGCCGCAAAATATATACCTTATAGTGCTGTACTATTTTTAGCAAAGAAATCCACTTTGAACTCGAGTTCTTTTTCATGTAGCTTTTTTCTAGGATGAATTCATTTATATTTCATATGAGCATGTTAAAATTATAGTACAGTACTAATATGAACAAAAATAGGTAAGATGCTTTTCTGAAAATTATAGGTCTTTGCACATAGCTGTACCCTTAACCCTTACACTGCTCTAGTCACCATATTCGATTTCCTCCTGTGCCCCAATTGCCACGTGCGATTTCCTCCTGTGCCCCAATTGCCACATGCAATTTCCTCCTGTGCCCCAATTGCCATGTGCGATTTGCTAAATGCCGTATTTTCAAGTCCTGCTCGCCTCAGTATAGTACTGTTAAACAGCCGTGTTGTTCAGATGTTAACACGGTGAATTGTAATGGGATATTGAATTGCAGTATGATGCTACATTCTCTCGCTTGTAGGATCTGAGTGTATGCTGACACCGGAGGAAAGTATTGAGATCCAGAATGCCATTGGAGCAGACATTATGATGCAACTTGATGATGTAGTGAATGTCAAGGAGAAAGAGTACGAGCGATTTAAGACTTCTACCTACAGGTATAGTATAAGGCTATATTTGTGTTGTAATTGTGGATGTATACCATGAATAATGAATGATGGGGTACAGGGACCCACTGTTGATATCTCTGTAGCACAAACAGCCCTGTATTTCCAGCAGTAGAGGAGGAGAGTGGAGACCCAGCTTACCTCCTCCTCGTAGGGGGCCTCGTAGCCTGGTGGATAGCGCGCAGGACTCGTAATTCTGTGGCGCGGGTTCGATTCCCGCACAAGGCAGAAACAAATGGGCAAAGTTTCTTTCACCCTGAATGCCCCTGTTACCTAGCAGTAAATAGGTACTTGGGAGTTAGTCAGCTGTCACGGGCTGCTTCCTGGGGGTGGAGGCCTGGTCGAGGACCGGGCCGCGGGGACACTAAAAAGCCCCGAAATCGTCTCAAGATAACCTCAAGATAACCTCAAGATAACCTATTTGGAAAAGTTGATAATGGTCCAGGACGGACTGAAACGTTGTCGACTCTTCATCTTCTGGTGTGTGGCTAGGTCATCATCAGGGAGCCGGTCGGCCGAGCGGACAGCACGCTGGACTTGGGATCCTGTGGTCCCGGGTTCGATCCCGGGCACCGGCGAGAAACAATGGGCAGAGTTTCTTTCACCCTATGCCCCTGTTACCTAGCAGTAAAATAGGTACCTGGGTGTTAGTCAGCTGTCACGGGCTGCTTCCTGGGGGTGGAGGCCTGGTCGAGGACCGGGCCGTGGGGACACTAAAAGCCCCGAAATCATCTCAAGATAACCTCTCAAGATAATCATTTCCACTTGTCATCTCCCCGAGCTATGTGCTGGCAACCTGTCTAACCTTCAATGCCGCACTAGGATTGAACCATTCACCAGTAGCATGTTTTTGTGCCTCGCTTTGCATGTGCTAATTAGTTTTTGCTTTGACAACGTGAGACCAAGGTTCTCTTTCTTTATCACCATCAGGTGTTGCCCCCTGGCATCAACCAGGGTTTTCTTCCCTCAAGGGGTTCAGGTGCCTCCTCTTTGAGTCTTCTCTCGAGAGGGGTCTCACTACAGGTGGTAGTTCATGAGTTTTAATTTGTATGGTGGATCTTTTGTTTGGGGGATGGACTGTTGTGTTGTGTGATAGATGTGTGTGGTGTTGGTCTGTCAATACATACGGCATTCTTTGCTGTGTGCTCCCAGGACAGGGGGTTGGGGTGTGTTTCACAAGATGCTCCCAATGCTCAAGTTGGGCCAATAGGTAGCAAGAGTTTCCTCCTGCGGGTCTGTGTTTGAAGGGGGAAGAGTGTCTGTGCCATCTCTCAACCCTGCTGTCTCATTTTATGACTTTCTGGGTGTCTGTCCGTTCTGGTGGAATCTGATAGTCACTCTTCTTGTCTCCACTATTCAGTCTGCTGGGTTTCTTGATGCTATAAACCCCAGGATCTGCACTGTCAGGCATTTGACTTCTGAGTTGGCCGAGTGCCTCTCATACAGTATTAACAAAATTACCTGAGAAATGCACAGCAGTCTTACATTCGCCTCGCATACACATAAAACTCTAAAGAGGATTACATTCTATTACAAACACTAACAATTTATAAAATGAGAATACACGTAAAATGCCGGTCATTACAATGAGACTTCTGACTGCTGGAGGAGTTCTTTGTGTGATTAACAACATTTGATTTCATTCTCTTCGTCCTGGTGCCATGTTGTGTAAACAAAAATTTGTTTAATGTATATATTTATAAATAAATGATAGAGTACAGTAAATAGACTTCTGCTAAATCCATTATACAATTATAATGTAACTGCTGTAAGATATAAAGTGGTTTTCATTTATTTTTGTTCACCTTACTTAAAGTTGTTACATTTTCAGAACGACCCGTTGGCTTGATCGGTGCATGAAAGCTAACAAGAATCCTGAGCGGCAAAATTTATTTCCCATCGTTCAAGGAGGGCTCTTCCCCGACCTACGGAAGATCTCACTCGAGCAGCTAATAGCCAGAGATGCTCCCGGATATGCTATTGGAGGTCTTAGGTATGATGACAGTCCCTAGTGCACTTATTAAATCCTTAACCACTGCCCTGCGCCACCCATCTTAGTCCGGGGCGTGGCGGTGTGCCACCCGACGTGTGACCGATGTTAGGATATCGTAGGATTCCAAACTCCTGAGGATACACAGGGCTCGTATCCTGTTTCTCAGGACTAGTAAACAGAAGCCATCTTGAACAAAAATTTGGTTTGGTCCCTTCTGGCAATGAGAGCCTCAGTAGTGCCAGAGTGACCTAGGCACTGTGCATGCAGCTTCAGCGCACAGCACAGCTGCACAACTCTTGAGCCACAGTACCATTTAATAATGACGAATAAAATAAGTAACTGCAATTATTTTGCTTTGATAGTGTCATAGATGAACCTGAATGTAATACTAATCATGTATAGGCTTCATATATCGGTGAACACAATGCTAGTGATGATGATCACAGCAGGAGGCAGACGTTCATAGGGAAGGTTTGTGAATCTACACGTCATGGGGTGCCTGACAGCTGAGTGGACAGCGCTTCGTATTCGTAGTCCTGAGGTTCCGGGTTTGATCCCCGGTGGAGGCGGAGACGAATGGGCAAAATGTTTCTTTCACCCTGATGCCCCTGTTACCTAGCAGTAAATAATCACCTGGGAGTTAGACAGCTGCTACGGGCTACTTCCCGCGGCCTGGTCGAGGACCGGGCCGCGGGGATGCTAAGCCCCGAAATCATCTTAAGATAACCTCAAGAAGATCATGCGACGTGACCTCACGTTCCTTCAGAAAATAATCTTGTGCAAAATAATTCATATTCATGATTTAGTGACAGGAATCTGATGATGATAGCAGTATTCGAAGTGATGATAATGATGTCCTTGTGCAGGTGATGAGTCACAATAACGCGGCTATAGTAAGTTGACCAGACCACATACTAGAAGGTGAAGGGATGACGACGTTTCGGTCCGTCCTATACCATTCTCAAGTCGATTGTAAAATTGACTTGAGAATGGTCCAGGACGGACCGAAACGTCGTCGTCCCTTCACCTTCTAGTGTGTGGTCTGGTCAAAACAATTTTGTTAGTTTCCTGTGATCAGAGAATGCACTTTTAACAATACTGTACAGTACAAGACAAAAAATTGGGAGGAATACTTTATTTTCAGTGCACCACAGCTTTGTTACAATTAAGTTTAGAGCAGTCTCCGTGGTGTAGTGGTAAGACACTCGCCTGGCGTTCCGCGAGCGCTATGTCATGGGTTCGTATCCTGGCCGGGGAGGATTTACTGGGCGCAATTCCTTAACTGTAGCCTCTGTTTAACGCAACAGTAAAATGTGTACTTGGATGAAAAAACGATTCTTCGCGGCAGGGGATCGTATTCCAGGGACCATAGGATTAAGGACTTGCCCGAAACGCTACGCGTACTAGTGGCTGTACAAGAATGTAACAACTCTTGTATATATCTCAAAAAAAAAGTTGGCACACAGTACTGGGGGGTTAATGACTTACATGAAAAGCTCAGAATATATCTGTTTCTGTATCTTGCTGTGTCCCTTGTATTCCGATAAATTGGTTACAAAACTTGCAAACATTTCCAATCTTCTGGAGAGCCCCTTGCTGCAAGATGGCTCCCCACTACTAGGTTACACTAGTCATAGGAGTCCTGTTCGGCCTCTGGGGCCAGATTCACGAAGCAGTTACGCAAGCACTTATGAACCTGTCCATTTTTTCTCAACCTTTGGCGGCTTTGTTTGCAATTATTGAACAGTTAATGAGCTCCGAACACCAGGAGGCTGTTTATCACAATAACAACAGTTCATTGTGAAGTTTTCATGCTTGTAAACTGTTTAATAAATGTAACCAAAGCCGTCAAAGGTTGATGAAAGATGTACACGTTCGTAAGGACTTGAATAACTGCTTCGTGAATCTGGCTTCTGGGGACCAGAGGCCGAACTTGGCCCCCCCCCCTCAACATGGTGTAGAGGGCAGGGGATTGTTCTCAACATGGTGTAGAGGGCAGGGGATTGTTCTCAACATGGTGTAGAGGGCAGGGGATTGTTCTCAACATGGTGTAGAGGGCAGGGGAATGTTCTCAACATGGTGTAGAGGGCAGGGGATTGTTCTCAACATGGTGTAGAGGGCAGGGGATTGTTCTCAACATGGTGTAGAGGGCAGGGGAATGTTCTCAACATGGTGTAGAGGGCAGGGGATTGTTCTCAACATGGTGTAGAGGGCAGGGGATTGTTCTCAACATGGTGTAGAGGGCAGGGGAATGTTCTCAACATGGTGTAGAGGGCAGGGGAATGTTCTCAACATGGTGTAGAGGGCAGGGGATTGTTCTCAACATGGTGTAGAGGGCAGGGGATTGTTATGATCACCCTCATCAGAAAGTATCCAAAAAGGAAATGAATTGATTGTGGCAACTGCCAGGTTAATATAAAATGAAGTACTGAAACAGGCAAACGACTCTGCAAATGATTCATTGCAAACAAATGGTTCTCTGGTAAGTAGTTCAAACCCCCCCAGTTCAGCTGGTTACCCCGAGGCAACCCAAAGCTCCTGGCTGTCAGCTGGCTCCCGATCAGTCTTGTCGTTGATGTGCTACAGTGTAGAACCCTCCGGTGGTGTTTCTGGACTCGGATTCAGTGTTGGTGTATTCCACCTGGGTTAAGGCCGCTCCTCCTCTTCCCTTCCCTGCTGGTGTGGTTTGTCCAGGTTCTGGTCTTCCACACCTCCTTGCTTCCAGCTCTGAAGGGTCTGAGGGTTTTGGAACTGGGTCAGGGTGTAGCTTTGGAGGAAGCTTATTCACCCTTCCACTCTGAAGGCAGACATAGTTGAGCCGTCCCTTCCTGCTGGGGATGTGGAACCCTCGCCTTCACAACCGATATCTAGCTTCAAGCATCGGGTGCTGGATATGGTTCTGCCCCAGTCATCGTGGCTGGCTTCAGGGGGGGGGGCTAGAGGGGGACCTGAAAGGGTCTGTGGGTGCCCTTCAACCCTTTCTGGACTTTAGTTCCATTGGATGAGGTTATATATTGTTCCAAAGAGGAGGACTTCCCCCACACAGTCCTTCGATGTATGAGCTTGATTTCTTGACTAATAACCCCCCTTCCCCTCCCCTGGGTTTGATTCCGTGTAGTGATCGGTTCCGCAGTTCGATATTATTTTATTGTCCTACCTTGCACCTATGGTACAAGCGGACCTATATTTAGGTTCCTCCTATGAAATTTGGACCCAGCCTTGTTCGAGTTTGGGTCTGCTACTGCCTGTTAGCTGCAGTACAAGGTTCCCGATTTATCCTGGCTGGCTGACAACTCTTCTTTCCTTGCGGCTTAGCATGGGTTCCATCAAACTTGACTGCTTGAGTGGCGAGAAGTGAGTTCCATCTTTCAGGTGTTCTTGTGCTGTGGTCTCTGCACATCACTTGAGGACCACTTGTTTGCTCCAGTGCTCACGAAGAGCACTGAAAAACCAGGGATCTGAAGAATCAGAAGTTGCCAGATTTGGGTTCCTGGTGGACTGATAGAAGTCCTAGTTGGTTCTGTTGTATGTTTGGACCTGGTTTGGAATTTCATGTTGACATCTCTTTCCCTGCCTCCCATGGTTCTGCTCCACCTACAGTGGCACCACCGTCTGGTGTTAGATTGGTTTGAGTGACTCGTCGGTTGGTTGAGCAGTTGCAGGAACCTAAACTTTGCCTGCATGGTAAAGTTTTTTTGCCTGCATTTTTTGTTGGCTTTTTCTTCCAGCTACATAGTTGGGGAGCTTCATTCTGTTCACTAGAAGTTAAATTTTTTTTCTTTCATCCCTGGTAGGCCTCTTGTCCACTTGCAACCTTCTCCTTCACTGGTGATGATGAATGAGTCGGTTGGTTTCTGGGTGGGTCCTTTGGTGGTTGATGCCTGGTTGGTCCAGCCAGCGGTGCATCATTTGTTGTGTCCGGTAGTGGCTCTTCATTGCTACCTGCATGCTAGTCGTTCTGCCTCGGTGGACGCTTTGTTGGTTGATCCTGTTTCCTTGGCCTCCTGTTCCAAGGCTAATATTTCTTGGGTTATCTGCTGTGTCAATAAATCTAGCCAGCCTGCGGCCTACCCGCGTGTGCACAATATTTGTTTAAGTTCGCAACTTTACTGCTGATTTTTCCTATATGTGATGGGTCTATATTCAAGCTCGGGGGTTTTGAAGGTTTAATGGGGTTTTGAAGGTTTAATGGGGTTTTGAAGGTTTAATGGGGTTTTGGCGGCCTGGTATCAGGTCATGATGATGTGTTGTCTTGGGCCAAGTTTCCCTGCCCAGCATCTCTCCTTCAAATTAGTACCTGCTGTCTCCTCCTCCTCCTTGGTAAGTTGCTTATCTTCTTACTTTTCTGTGGTTAGCTAGCTTTGGGATTAGGTGCTTCATTTTCTATGAACGCTGCAGTTGTCTGTATTGTCTTGTGTCCTTTCGGGATACTTTCCTGATGAGGATGATCGTAATAATTCCCCGCTCTCTATGCCTGTGTGAGGGGCGGATCAGGGTCTGGCTCTGGCTCCTGTATGCCTAACAGGACTCCTATGACTGATGTGATAGCTCCAGAAAGCCACTAGGTTCTACCAGAGAGATGCGTTTCATTTTGTTCAATGTGGCGGTCTTTTCAAGATGGAAATAAAGCATGTAGCCGAATTTATAAACAATAATATTTGAGGACTTATTATAATTCAAATAAGCTTATTGAGGTATAAATATACACAAAGGGAGACAGTAGCTCAAGTTATTCTCACCCCGTTTACTTATTATATGTAGGTCATTTATCCCAACATTTTCTTTGAAGTGGAGGTGAGGAAAAGGACAAGTTCTGGCCAGTGGTTCATCTGTGTACAGACCAGCTTCCAAAAAACAAACCTCGGTACTGCATGGGCGTTGGCTTTGCTGTCGACCTCGTTGTGTGCTGCGCTCTTGGGGTGGACATGTTCGATTGTGTTTTCCCCACTCGAACTGCAGTAAGTTCAAACTAGATTTCTTGTTTAGCTTTAAGTGAAGGAGTCATTTTGATCTCATCTTCCATATTTAAGTTTATGGCATCATGGTATTTCTGTATGACATTTCTGCTTCCACCATCACCGTATGTCTTAAAAGTCGTAACTAAAGAGAGCAGAAATGCTCAACACTGTATAGAAACACTAAGTTGAGATAAGATTGAGATTAGAAAGTTCCACCCATTCATCCATCATATTTTCTGCGCTAATCAGCATCACCGAGAGCCAGCATTCTCAGATCAACAACAGTGCCCCACAGTTTCATTGACTAGGTATAAAGTTAATAATAACTCATTGTGTTGGGGGACAAGCAGCCAGAGTATATTCATACACGTTAGGCTTATATCAAGGTCCCCCCCCTCCCCCCAAGGTTGAATTACTGACCCAGTCTAGGATGCAACCCCATAACAAGTTAACTCCTGAGTACCTTCTTACTGCTAGGTGAACAGGTGCATTAGTTGATAGGAAATGCTCCCAACCATTTTTGCCCCGCCCCGGATTCAAAATCGGAATTCTCGATTGTGAGTCGAGAACGAACCCGACTGTACTACCAGGACCCTTAATAGTTAGTTGTGTGTGTGTGTGTGTGTGTGTGTGTGTGTGTGTGTGTGTGTGTGTGTGTGTGTGTGTGTGTGTGTGTGTGTGTGTTTGTTTGTTTGTTTGTTTGTTTACTAGTTGTGTTTTTGCGGGGGTTGAGCTTTGCTCTTTCGGCCCGCCTCTCAACTGTCAATCAACTGTTTACTAACTACTTTTTTTTTTTTTTTTTCACACCACACACACACACACCCCAGGAAGTAGCCCGTGACAGCTGACTGACTCCCAGGTACCTATTTACTGCTAGGTAACAGGGGCACTTAGGGTGAAAGAAACTTTGCCCATTTGTTTCTGCCTCGTGCGGGAATCGAACCCGCGCCTCAGAATTACGAGTCCTGCGCGCTATCCACCAGGCTACGAGGCTCCTTGTGTGTGTGTGTGTGTGTGTGTGTGTAATTACCTAAGTGTAATTACCTAAGTGTAGTTACAGGATGAGAGCTACGCTCGTGGTGTCCCGTCTTCCCAGCACTCTTTGTCATATAACGCTTTGAAACTACGGACGGTCTTGGCCTCCACCACCTTCTCACTTAACTTGTTCCAACCGTCTACCACTCTATTTGCGAAGGTGAATTTTCTTATATTTCCTCGGCATCTGTGTTTAGCTAGTTTAAATCTATGACCTCTTGTTCTTGAAATTCCAGGTCTCAGGAAGTCTTCCCTGTCGATTTTATCAATTCCTGTAACTATTTTGTATGTAGTGATCATATCACCTCTTTTTCTTCTGTCTTCTAGTTTTGGCATATTTAATGCTTCTAACCTCTCCTCGTAGCTCTTGCCCTTCAGTTCTGGGAGCCACTTAGTAGCATGTCTTTGCACCTTTTCCAGTTTGTTGATGTGCTTCTTAAGATATGGGCACCACACAACAGCTGCATATTCTAGCTTTGGCCTAACAAAAGTCATGAACAATTTCTTTAGTATATCGCCATCCATGTATTTAAATGCAATTCTGAAGTTAGAAAGCATAGCATAGGCTCCTTGCACAATATTCTTTATGTGGTCCTCAGGTGATAGTTTTCTATCTAGAACCACTCCTAGATCTCTTTCTTTATCAGAATTCTTTAAAGATTTCTCACACAATATATAGGTTGTGTGGGGTCTATGTTCTCCTATTCCACATTCCATAACATGACATTTATTAACATTAAATTCCATTTGCCAAGTGGTGCTCCATATACTTATTTTGTCCAGGTCTTCTTGAAGGGCATGACAGTCATCTAAATTTCTTATCCTTCCTATTATCTTAGCATCATCAGCAAACATGTTCATATAATTCTGTATACCAACTGGTAGATCATTTATGTACACAATAAACATCACTGGTGCAAGAACTGAACCCTGTGGTACTCCACTTGTGACATTTCTCCATTCTGATACATTGCCTCTGATTACTGCCCTCATTTTTCTATCAGTCAGAAAATTTTTCATCCATGATAGAAGCTTACCTGTCACCCCTCCAATATTTTCCAGTTTCCAGAACAACCTCTTATGTGGAACTCTGTCGAAAGCCTTTTTTAGGTCCAGATAGATGCAGTCAACCCAACCATCTCTTTCCTGTAATATCTCTGTGGCTCGATCATAGAAACTGAGTAAATTCGATACACAGGATCTTCCAGATCGAAAACCATACTGTCTGTCTGATATTATATCATTTCTCTCTAGGTGTTCTACCCATTTAGTTTTGATTAGTTTTTCCAATACTTTCACTATTACACTTGTCAATGATACAGGTCTATAATGTGTGTGTGTGTGTGTGTGTGTGTGTGTGTGTGTGTGTGTGTCCGTCCGTCCGTCCGTCCGTGTGTGTGTGTCCCCCCCCTAAAATGACAAACATTCTCTTTTTCTTAACAATGGCCCCTCAGCTTAGCATTGCTTTGTAAAAAAAATTTGTAGTATGTTCCTGCTCAGTCCATGCCTCGTCATTCACCATGACACCTGACGTGGGACATTAGCTTCAAGGTAAAGGTACATAAATATTATTGAACTTTATCTTACTCGTGAACTCACCGGCATCTTGTTTACTTGTTGTTTTTGCAGTGTAGAATAAACTGTTTATTTCTATTATTATTCATGCATTTCTTAATTTGTTTATAAACTCTTCAAAGCATTCATGTTAATCATACAGACTCGGGACTCTGTAAACTGCTCCTCACGATAAGAGTTAGTTTACTGTTGAGTGCGGTACTATAGTTTGCCACGATTTTGCCGAGTGCGAAGGTGTTACGAAAGGTCTTGTTTATCACACTAAGCATCTTTTTAACCTTGGTGCATGTACAGAAATATTACTTTAACCTCTTCTGATGTTGAAATTGAAATAAGTTTATTGAGGTAAAATACACACAAAGGGATGAGGTAGCTCAAGCTATTCTCACCCCGTTCAGTACATCGTGTTAATACATACATAGGCACACATTTTCTGATGTTAGTACTGTCTCGGCCCATATAATTAGAAATGGAGCAGCACTCTTTTGTTATAGGGCCCAAATAATCTGTGATTTCTTTCGTCTCTCAGAGATTTGGCTGTGCTCTTGTGAACAATGGCCAGATCAACCTCAAGTCCCGTGAATTTGTTAGCGACTTTGGCCCCATTGACGAAAACTGTGACTGCACAACTTGCAAAAATTACACCCGTGCCTATCTACACACCATCGTCACCAAGGAGACTGTTGCATGCCATCTTCTGTCTCTACACAATATTGCCTACCAGGTGAGCTATTCTTGTGATCATTTTTTATAAGGTCCAGCCCGCCAAACACACACCGAAACTACGACGTTGGTACAACATTCGAACAACTTTTAATACCTCCTAACCAGTTATAACAACCAATATAGCTAGTTGTAACAACGTTCTAATACGTCATAAACACGTTAAGCCAAGATGTAACAACTTTATTACAAGTTGTAACCAGCGGAAAATAGAGAGAGTTTCGGTTTGTGTTTCCAGGGAACACTGAAAATCTGAACTAATTGGTTCTGCATCCATTCCTAATTAGGGGGTGAATAACAGACTTAAAAGAATTTGGCCATTTTGGGGGTCATATTATATAGTAGGGTTATATATATTAAAAACAAATTTGGTTTCTTACTGAGAATAATGGAACACATCTTTGTGCACATTTATGCAAAGAATAAGAGAGTATGAATGACATGTCTTTAATATGAAAATACACTCTGATATAAACTTAATAAAAATTGTATATTACAGTATTTAAACGATTCTTCACGGCAGGGGATCGTATTCCAGGGACCATAGGATTAAGGACTTGCCCGAAACGCTACGCGTACTAGTGGCTCTACAAGAATGTAACAACTCTTGTATATATCTAAAAAAAAAAAAAATAAAATAAAGTATTATTTTATTGAGGCCCATAGATGTCCATAGGAATTTAAGTAGTATTCTTTCAAACAAATTAATATTCATCTATTATAATCCAATGTAACGTCACCTACTGTGAGTCGTCTTCTGAAGTTTTCAGGAGTACAGTATAATCTAGTGTTGGGTCCGGTAGCCAGCCAACACTACTTTATTTTGAACGTAACACTTGGAATAATCAAACGTACCTTTGACTTAAAGGAAAAGAAGGTAGTGCTTCAATTGTATAAATCTCTGGTGCCATTTGGATTACTGTATCCAAGCATGGAGACTCATCTTCAGAATGCCACACAGCTGTTCTGGAGAAAGTGCAACACCGGGCAACAAAAATCATTCCAGAGCTAAGTCAACTCTTATACAGTATCAGGAATGGTTGAGGGCCACAGGGCTAAGGACACTGCAAACCAGGCATGACCTACCTTGAGGTTACCTTGAGGTGCTTCCAGGGCTTAGCGTCCCCGCGGCCCGGTCGTCGACCAGGCCTCCTGGTTGCCGGACTGATCAACCAGGCTGTTGGACGCGGCTGCTCGCAGCCTGACGTATGAGTCACAGCCTGGTTGACAGGGCGGATCTCATTGGAACTTTTAAAATACTAAACTATTTGGAGGATGTTGATCTGGACAATTTCTTCAAAGGGTCAGATGTAACAAAAAACAAGGAGCAACGGTTTCAAACTCAACAAGCCACAATGTAGGACTGAGAACAGGTGATGCTTTTTCACCCACAGAGTTATAAACCCTGTGAGTTTATAACCCACAGTTTAAATCCTTAAACCCTATAAACCCTGTGGGTTTATAACCCCTAGGAACCCCTGTGGGTTCCTTTAAAGTAATGGAACCACCTGCCCGCCAAATCCGTAAATGCCAAAACTCTGTTAACTTTTAAAGTACAGCTGGAAAAGATCATAAAGGCAAATGGGGGGGGGGGGACATTTGACAAGTTGCCAAGTGGTAGTGGCTCTCAAATAAATATTACAACACATTTAAAGTTATATTACAAAATGCTTAGATGGGGCCCAAAGGGGAATGGGGTTCTTTGAGCCTACTTCAGCGAATTGCAGCCTAAAAAATCTGGATGTTTCAGCACTATGGTATAGACCTCAAAATGAGAATTTTGCAATACAGTACAGTCCTATAGTAGAAAACTCGCTGTATAGTTGCTACCAAAACAGTTGGATTTCAGTTTCACTGAAATCCAAAACTGTGTTGCAATGAAGTGTGTTACTCTTATTAATAGTATTTTAAGCAATAATTATGTGACATAAATGTGCAAGCATTACTAATGTGTGTTTTCCTCGCATACCTGGTCCCTTGCTGTATGTCTAGCTGTTGAGCACTTAATCCACATATTAAAGAAGAGGAAATAAAACCATTTTGGTCTGGCCACAGACACTCGCAAGTTGTTACCAAGAGGAATGTCGGAAACAGGTGCCGTGATGATTAAACATCATCGGTGATACTTCGGAGAGGTGAGAAATGCACACATTGTCGGGCAGTCCAAGATTGTTTGTAAAACAGACTCTGAGGGATTAAAGCTGAACATGATGTGCAGATTTTGTGTATGATATTTGCAAAATCACTTGTTTTCAAGTATTTTGAAGAAATACCCAACATGGAAACTGGACAAAATTTTTTTTTAGAACATTTATGTTTGGTATCCAGCATATGATCAAGAAATACAATAGAGGCAAGAGGGGCATAGATGGAAATATATATACATATAGGCTCTTGTGAAGTGAAGCAGATGGACCTGAATTACAATACTATTGCTGTTGTTGGGGACAGGAAGCCTGTAATTAGGGTTATTAAGGTCCTCCTAGGTCCAACCACTGACCTGTTCCTTGATACACAATAGTTGCCCAACTCCTGGTCATCTATTAACCACTCGATGAACAGTTATATTAGGCGAAAGGAAACATACCCACCCACTTCTGTCCTGCTCAAGGATTCAACCCTGGGCCCGTCAGTTGCAAATTGAGAACATCAGACTGTTGTGCTAGAGGACCCCAAACTCAGCCGTGTCATTTACGAAGTCAAGGCACCTACGATTCAAGTAATATCATCTCCCGCCTTTTATCGTTCTGTTTAGTCCTAGGTGATGGCATCACTCAAGTTGTAGCTGACCTGCCTCCGCGTGCCGATGACATGGTGTTTTGTGGTCAGGACCTAGACAGTACGGGTCCTGTATAATACAGGACATGTAATCCTGTATATGTACAGTATAATACAATGGGTCTTTACCCATTGTAGCCATAAGAAGGTTTTATAAAAAATATAAATATGTACTACAGTACAGTATATAAGAATTTTAATCAAACCCTCTAATATTTTTTTTTTTAAATATAAAAGGAAATTTACAAAATTCTTTCCATTTTATAAATTCTTATAAAGGTTTATGCATTGGCATGCATGTGTGGGGGGTGGGGTGGGGTGGAGGGGGGAGGGAGAGAGAGAGAGAGAGATATTGAAAAAGAGATATTGAGAGAGAGGAGAGAGATATATTGAGAGAGATTGAGATTTAGACAAAATGGAATTCTTGATACAGTATAGTCGTGTGGCGCACTGAAGTATCGTATACTGTACTGTACTTGTAAGTCTGTACTTGTACTTATCTTATACTGCACTTGTAAGTCCACATTAGCGTTCACGACCATTTATGCCATGCAAGTCATTTCAATGTTTTACCCACAGATGAGATTGATGCAGAATATTCGGGATAGCATCAAGGAAGATCGTTTTGTGGAATTTGTTGAGGGTTTTATGGGTGTGTACTACAAGGATGAAGACTACCCTCAGTGGGTTACAGATGCATTAGCAGCTGTCAACATTACACTAAAAAAATGAGTAGCTTTGTGTCTTGCTTTCAGTTCCGTTTAAATATACAGTATGTGATTATCATAATGGCTTTTTTTTTTATTAAATACTGTACTGCTGAATGATATATGGTATTTATTTATATTAAAGCCTTTGATGGATTGCTTGATGTTAAAATTTGATTTGTTTACGAATTCCAGCGGTTGTGTGACAGACGTGTTATCCGATGTCTGGGATGATCAAAAAAAGGATGACGAAAAGGTGTGGAGTCTTCAGTCAGGCTTCGATAAACTTTATCTCACTGGTTACAGAAATGGTATCCTTGGAGATTTTGAAGAGGAGGAGGCTGAAGGGAGACTCCGAGGCTTTGAGAAAGCTTTTAAGTCTCGGCCTAAAGTGAATCCCACCATCGTCTTGGCAAGGTTGGATGGGGTATTAATCGCCTGTTTGGCAAAGTGTGTGACCAATCTAAGTGAGCAGCAAAACACAGAAGCTCTACTAATACGGGAGGAAATAAAGCACTTGCTTTCTCTATATTTTGAACCAAGTAAAGCCATGCTTGAGAACACTGTCAAAATTAATCCAGATGGGGAAACGGTAAATGCTCAGGAGGATATTAGGCTGTGTTTAGGTTCTGAGACGACCACGTGTTGTGAAGGTAGTGCCTGCGGTAGTTCCATATCAAGAGAGGTCGAGTGTGATTGCAAATTAGAGAAAACTAATAATGCGGATACATGCTTGAATGATATACTGACGAGGACAAGAACATTGTTCGATAGTGTTGGGTGGAAGATGCCAGATTTTGTTTTAGAAACCTTATAGTACAGTGTCTTTGAATCTAATTTTGAATCTAATATTAAATGCAGTACAAAATTAATTAAACTTTTTAATTTATTCACAGTGATATCATGTTTCGCTGGTCAGTTGAAATATAATGTGAAGGGTTATGGCGTATTGTGCTGAGGGTGGTAGTAACGAAGCCTCTAATTAAATTGATACGTGCAACTGAAACATATATTTTCTGTTGTCCCTAAAGACAATGATTTATAATAACTATTGCCACTTTTCACTATATTATTTTCAACCTCTCAGGAGCACCACCTAGATATGGTAAGAGGGATGTTGTTTGTTGTTCTAGATTCAGCTAATCGGAACAAAGTTTCAAGTAGCACGGTGTACGGTGAGCCCATAGTGGAGTGAGGTATGAGGGTATTTACATGCCATTTATGGACAGTTAAAGATGGCTTCTGCTTTGGCCTGCTTGTGCAATGTGTGATCTAGGGGCCCACTGTGGTAGGCCTCCTACTATGCTCGTCATATCCACCCACCGAAGAGGTCTGTGTGTATAAGTTGCTGCTCGAGATGGGGCATGAGGAGAAAGTGGGTAGTTTGTACCAATATTGGTGAATTGCAGTTTCTTGATTGCTTCATTCATATCAGTGTTCTATACTGATATAAAAAAAAAGGGAAGCGCCACTAGAAAAGACGTACCCTGTTCTGCACTGGCTAATGCTTGGATCC